TAAAGCTACAAGACCATTAGATCCTGTCAGGGGACTTAACTCTAAGATTGAAGTACTACATTTCAATAACTATTACTATTAAAAAAAAAAAAAAAAATGTCTCCTTCAGTGGTCCAATCATTTTAAGTGATTTCTAATAAACTTCTAGGGTAAAAGATTTGGACACTCTTAGCATTTATGATAGCAAGCTGACCTGCAATGTTTGCACTCTTATGAAAATGAGTGTCTGGGCTTATATTCCCCATTTATTTGTTCAGTTTTTCTCAGCTGCTACATGAGCAGACAGACGTGGAAAGCCAGTTATCATTAAATCTGTACTAGTTTCATCAATGTACCCAAAAACTGACAGATTCATGTGAGGACTAACCCAGATAATCCAACCCTCTGAGTTTCTTTGATAGTATAGACCTATTCCTAAGACTGAATACTGTTTGTTTTTTTTTCTTGACCACTGAAATCAAGTTCTGGTCTGTTTACACAGTTTAAAAACCACCCACCAGTTCAGTTGAAATTGCTCGTTAATTGCACTGGGATCGTGTACAGCAATGTAGTGGGAACACTACATCACAGACTCAGAGACACAGGACCTTAAAGATTTTAAATGGTCCTTTAATATGACACCACGAAGTCATTCATGGAAGTTAAGGGATAATGATCAAAAGATTTGCCTAATAATTCTCAAAAACTTGGAACAGTATGTCAGCCATACTGTTAGCTTTAGTTCACACACAATTATTCCTTTTTTATCATTCATTTGTAATTTATAATATTTATATAATTCATGTACCATTAAATTTATAATAGTAAAACAATTTAAAATCAGTATACGGTTCCTCTTTCCTAACCCATCAACATGTGAGAGAGTTTAGATTTACTCTAGTTTTTGAAAACTAAGCATCTCAATTTCTTAAATATATGGCGGTGGTTTAAACATCTTTGGAAATATGCTGTGCAGCCAGACCCTAATTCACATGTGTGTGACCTGGAGACACCCTTTACATGGAATGTCCGTCTTAGAACTGCGGCTTCTTCAGCTGGGCGCTGCAGACTTAGGCTTTCTTCTTGGCCCATCCTCCACTTCCCATTTCATGCTGGTGACATGCTGGGAACAGGAAAGGTAGGGGCTGTATTGCCAATCCATCCACCTTCACCCCTGCCCCACCTCTCAGCCAGTTTCCTAGGTGGCATCCCTGCTCACCTCATCGTGGTCCATTCTGTTCCTTACCCTTCATGTGCCACCCACGTTTCTGTAGCAAACAATGAGCTCTTCACTTAGGAACATCTTAGGTCTCTCATGCAACACTGTTCAATCTGCCTTCACTTGCTTGTTGAGGCTCAGTCCCCACTACCAAGCAGACACAGAGATCCCTTCTCTGACCTCACCACCAGGGAGCAGCAAGGAAAAAATTGCTGTAGATTTTTCTTGGAGGACCGATTATGGTGATTGGGTTCTGTACCACTGCTTGCCATTCACAGCCCTTGTAGTGAAAATAAGCTTTGGGAGGACAAACCAAGAAAGTTAATGCCCACTTAGAGTATTGTTCCTAAGGGGAAATATTACCAGATCTCAATAATTCAACAACCGTCTGAACTTTGAGATCATAATTTTTATTTGGGAACTGCCTGTAATAATATACAGATAATGATGCCATTTTAACAATCCAAGGACCTCTTTGCAAGTTTTCTAAAATTCTATCCACCCTCTCGAAACACAGACACGATTTTAAAAACTGGACTTTCTTGCTCCGTCACTGTGGCTCAGTGGATTGAGCATTGTCCCATTGACTGAGAGGTCCCGGTTCGAGTCCCAGTCAGGGCACATGCCCGAGTTTCGGGCTCGATCCCCAGTAGGGGGTGTGCAGGAGGCAGCCAATCGGTGTTTCTCTTTCTCCCTTCCTCTCTAAAAAATCAAGAAATACATATATTTTTTAAAAAGCTGGATTTTCTGAATTTTCCTCATTTTTCTCTAATTGTAGACATGAGGGTAAACAGAACCCTTATCTACAGGAATTTGAAAAACTCATGTTCTTTTGAGAAACACTTTCCCAGGCAAAATCCTAATGTACCAATTCCTTTGATTTTGAAATGTATTCCTCAGTGCAAAAAAGACCACCCTCCAATTTGGATTTTTTTAAAATAAACTTTAAACAGGGAAGAGATGTAAATTTTAGCTTGTTCCACAAGAAATCTTGATGGGACACAATTCCCCTAAATTTATAGCCCAAAGAATTCCTTTTTAAAAACATTTTTTAGTCTGATTTTTAAAATGATTTATAGTGAACAGTAATTCTTATTCCTATCTGTTCATGCAAATCTCCATTAAACCTCCACTTATGTTGAAGCTGACCTCCAGTTTTAGATTTTAATACATATAAAGTTTTATATAGAACATACATACTTAAATCTTAAGATTGTGAACATTAACACATCAGCCCATTTGAAATGAGTTTTCTTCTGCTGATGAAACCTTCGCAACAAAGTGCTGTCCTCTCTCAATCCTGCAACCTGACGCTCTCCTCCATGTCTCTGCCTAGACCTGGCTCTTTCTGGAAGATTCTAAGGAAGCGCCAGTACAGCTTGTTTTAATCCTGCCAAAAGGTTTCAAAGGCTAAATTCTAGGGCTTTCCGAATGCTTCACAGTAGGTGTTCCAGAAAAAAGTAATGATAATGACTGCAATGAACATTCCAAATGATGTTCTAAAAAGTACTTTCTGTGCTCAAAAGTACCCATTAGACTATTGCATCAAAAGATCCGCACTAATCAGGAAAAGTGACAGGAGAGATGTCAAAATGGATCACTGGAAAGCGCTGGTTTGTTACCTACTTGTTGTGGAAATGGCCATTTTGGTCATTTTTATTTGAAATTAATAATATTGAGGGACTAAAAGACATGAAGATACTGAAGCATTGCATCCGTTTGGCAGACAGTAACATCCCCAGTTCCAATTGGGGTAAACCATGAAATGTCGACGTTTTCAAGTTCACTCTTGAAAATCACATTATTTCAAAGTCTGTAATGTACACTTATTTTTATTCAGAAATACTTTCATATTCACTGACTGTAATTAAAAGTTTAAAATTTCAAAAGAGGCAAAAAATTACATGGTATCAGAAGCTATGTCAAACATGCAACATTGTCAGTGACATTTAAACTGCAATTCAGCCCTTGTAACTTTCTTAGAATCAAACTATTAGAACAGGAACACAAATATACCATATATTACTCTTTAGATTTTGTTTCACCATATGTTCTTGTCAGTGGGACACTTAAAAATGTTCAAACCAGACAGAAAAGCATTTTTTAAAAACCTACCATGGAAGAAAAAAGACCACCAGCAACACTCCTGTCTTTTCCACGGTGTGGAGAAGGGACATGTCACCCTAAGAGAAGTTTCCCCCATTCTTCCGCGGAGCTTTCTCAATATTTACACTTACGTCTATTTCTCTTCAAACAGGACTCTTAAAAACTGTTTTAGATTTAGAATTAATATTTTGTTCCTAAATGACAAATGTGCTCACTTTCAATATTCCTTTTCACCAGTATCTCCTCGATTTTCCTCTGAAGCGCCGCTTTCTGGGTAACTCGGCCCTTTATACAAAGGAAGCCTGTCAGGTGACATAGTCCGGGGTCACACTACTTTGGGAGTTAGCTTGGGGATGGAAACACCCCTGGGATATTGTGATTTGGGGAAATGGTCTGAGACTGGACACTCTGGAAGCCTGTAGTTTGGAGAAGCAGCCTCCGCAGAAAGGGACGCATCCTCACCAAGGTAGTGATGATTCTCATCTGCCCAACTCCCCCTGTGACGGGCCATCTAGCCTGGGCCAAAGGCGACACTCCCCTCCCCCAGTCAGCCTTGTGCTGGGGTGGGGGAGGGGTGACTCGGCAACCTCTGGCATCCCGCTGGGCTGTGCTTTCTGGATGAGGTGAAGCCACTGCTAACACTTCTTCCGACCAAGACTAAAGACAGCCTCCTCGAGGCCTCTGAATGGTTGTATGAACTGGACTTTGTTACAAAAGAACACAGGTTTAGGTGAAAGGACCCCAAGGGAGAGAGTGCGTCTCTGACACTGACAGGCCTCGACTATCCCGGGGTCCCTACCTCGGGGGATCAGCCCCCCACTCCCGAGCTGAGGACAGATAATACTGCGTTTTGTAAAGCAAAGCACCCCGCACCCCCACCCTGCGTTCACACTGCTCGCACCCTTGTCCTCGCCACCGCCCCCCTCAGCCCTGACCTCCGCGCAAACACCTCCACGGGGTGTTCTCGGTCATCTGTAAGCAACACACACGTTAAAACTCAGATTCGTTGTTTTTTAACAAAAAAGTGCTTAAACCCATCCTATGCAGTTTCACTTCATTTTCAACCAATAAAATCAAACTCATTTCGGTTTATGAATAATACTGAAAAAATAGTGAATCTGATTGTTCTCTTCCATTTTAAACCAGCCTCCGTTCCCAGCTTTCCCTTACCTGACTCGTGTCTGTACCTTGGTGAGTCGGACTCTTGTTCGGAAAAATATAGAAGGTACAAATAGATAGAATTTTTAGGATAAAAAATTTTCTGAATATAAAAATGCTTTCTAAATGTTTCAAAATAACACTTTTAGATCCTTCTTGTAGTTTGGATTTGGTAACTAAACTGTTAAGTACCCAAGGTTTTTAAAAAATATCAAAAGATAATAACATGGTTTTAAATACAAAGTTACAAAGGAACCACTCATATTTGTGGATTATCCCCACAGAAAGTTCAGTTTCTCAACAAGAAAACCCCAAATACTTTAGTAACAAAATAAAATTCCATTAGCAAAAACCTGTTTCAGATAGAAATCTATGTGTGTTAACGATTGCCCAAGTTGCCCAGCATCAGCTTCAGTAAAATACAGAACCGTCTAGAAAACAGTCTCCAAAAAGCGTGCGAGTCCTGCAGAGCGGACGGACCGGGCAGGGCCACGCCCTGTTCACAAAGGCCTCCTTCCAGGCGCCGACCTGACCCGGTGCAGTCCCCGCAGCTCCCGCTCCCTCTGCCGGTTCGAGCGCCGCACATCCCGGTGAGCGTTCTGCGTGGATGAGCGAGCGTCGAGGGAGCGCGCGAGTCCAGCAGGCCCTGTTCTGACTGTAAACGCTGCGATGGTCGATGGTCGGGTCCCCTTCAGCAGCTGCGGGAGCTTATATGAGCCTGGAGCTCTTCAGGAACTGGATGAGAACTCTGTACACGAAGGTGTACTGGATCAGGGTCTGCACCAGCATCATCCTCTGCTGCCTCAGCATGTCCAGCACCCGCGGGATGTCCAGCACCTAGATGGAAAGAAGCAGGGATGAGGCGAAAGCACTCGCCCGGGGAGAGAAAGGGGACAGGAGCGTTAGTGTCCTGGCACAAATCTGGTTAGGAGATGGACAACCTCCTAACTTATCTGCCTTGGCATCTTCTATAGAACAAACAAATGAAAAACCCAGGGGCCTTTGGCTCTGAGCAGCACCACGGCGGTCGGCACACAGCAGTCGGCAAGAACAAAGGCCGTGACAGAGGGCGAAAGGGGGCCGAGGAGAAGGTGGTCGCCCACCTTCCACTGAGGCGGTGTGACGTGAAAGCACCAGCCCTGGTCAGTGGAAGGAACACTGGAGAAACACTAGTCACGAGAACCCGAGGCACCCAAATCACATCTGGAGGTCTCAAGGGTTGCGTTTTGGAAGTGAGCTTAGCTGACCTACAGAATCATGAAGTTGCATTTAGAAAATTCAAGCTAATTACTGAGATGTTCAGGGCAAACACTGCCTGGCTAATTTCCGTGGCATGGATGTTACCATGGAGACAAAATGTGCTCCGTGGTCAGAAAACGGCGGACCATGACTGAAGCTCATGGTGGTGTCAACACTACTGATGGTTATTGTCTCTGTCTACTCTGTGTTGGTTTTACTAAAAATGCAAGTCAGGTTGGGAAGACCTCTTATGCTCAGCATCAACAGGTCCGCCAAATCTGGAAGAAAATGCTGGAAATCATGACCCGAGAGGTGCAGATAAATGACTTGAAAGACGTGGTCAATAAATTAACTCCACACAGCACTGGGAAAGACACCCAAGAGGGTTGCCAATCTATTCACTCCATGAAGTCTTTGTTGGAAAAGTCAAAATGCTGAAGGAGCCCAAGCCTGACCCGGGGAAACCCATGGAGCTGCCTGGAGGAGGCAGCAGTTCCGGGAGAGCTACTGGGGATGAGACAGGTGCTAACGCTGAACGAGCTGACGGACAGGAGCCCCCAGTCCGCGGATCTGTTAAAATTCAGACTTTTACTGGTGGCACAAAACAAAACAAAAAAACCCTACTTGTGGGGAAAAAACGAACTTCTTTCCGAAAGAGCTGTCAGATAAGTAGGTCTGTGTTTAGCCCACTTCTCGCCCAACCAAAAAAGGAAATAGCACCTCGTTGTGTTCCAGACAGGCGATCATGATCTCCGACAAAATGACGACGCCGGTTCTGCCCACGCCCGCACTGCAGTGGACCAGCAGCGGAGGGTTGGGGCTTTTTGGTTCACTCGTACTATTTGTGTGGCGCCGAACGGACTGGATCTCCTCCAGGTACGCTGTGAAGTATCAGTAAAATAGACAAATACTCAGGGTTTAAGGCACAGCACACAGACAGTCTTCACATTATGTCCACTGCTGGGGAGGGCTCCGGACGAGCACCGGGCGCCATCTGACGGAGCCCGTCCGCCCACGGCAGTGCGGTCGCGGGGATCCTGGGCTCCCATCTGGGCTCCCGCCTGGGCTCCCACTTCCTCCTCTACAGAGTGAATGCAGGAACGGCTCCTAAGACTCACAGCATTTTACTCACTACCAAGTTATACTTTAAAAACTTCCCCCAGCCTCCCCTAAACACTTAACATCTTTATTTTAAAACAGGCCCCAGGTTTATAGGAGACCACATAAAGGAGATATTTCAGGGACACGTCTTCCTCGCCCTGGCTGACCGCTCCAGCCCGCACTGTGCCGGGAGTGGACACTCACACAGAAACCCCTTGAGGTCCTCCGGGCAGCCGTGCTCCGGCCAGTCTGTGTACTGCAGATGCCAGACGGTCCTCTCCTGCCCCGTGAGCAGGTGCTTCATCTTCAAGCCCGTGGTGGCATAGCAGCCAGAGTCAGTGCGGAACCGGGTGGTGATCTTAAACCTTCCATAGGTGACCGTGTTGTGCCTGGAACCAAGGCGTGGCCAATACCTAAAGCTCTTCTCCCTTCCACCCTCCTGTTAAAGACAAGTCCACGGACAGTCAAAACACAACCCGAGGTCCCGCGATCCGCGCCCTCTCACACAGACGGCACGTCTGAGACTCCAAATCCCCCTCCCAACCGGCCTTTTCCTCCAAAGGTCAGGAGCCCACATGGGCAGCATCAGCTTTTCGTCTGAGGCTGCGGAAGCCAGCGGGAGGAGGGAGCACTCACCTCTTCAGCTGTCACCATCGCTATAATGGCGACTCCCTGTTCCCACACCATCTGCCAAAAGTCCTGACAGGTGTTCTGCAAGGGGCCCTGTGTGGCAATGTAATCCCATTCAATTCCACTGACAGAGACCTAAGACGAGAAAGGGTTAAACAAATGACTATGTAGGCCCTGGCTGGTTTGGCTGAGCGGTTAGAACGTCAGCCTGTGGACCAATGAGTTGCGGGTTCGGTTCCAGTCAAGGGCACGTACTTCGCTCTGGCCCTGGTTGGGTCGTTCGGGTGGCAGCCACTCGACGTGTCCCTTTCACGTCAATGTTTCTCTCTCCCTCTCTCTCCCTTCTACTCTATTTGAACTAAAATGGAAAAACGTCCTCAGGTGAGCATAAAAAAAAATGAATCTGTGTATATGTATAAGACTGAGTGTATACAGGCACGTACATACAGTTATTTGTGGTGATACTAAAACATGAACTAAATTATTCAGAATAAAGAAAGGCTTTCTCATCTTATTCTTTTTCCTTATTAGTACGATTTCCATCCCTGACATCTTTATAAACGGATGTACTACGAATTCACATGCTATTTTAACCTCTCTGAATCTCAGTTCTCATACTAACATAGGAGGTCACCTACCCCCACAGGGCGGGTCGGAACCAGGGGGCCGACACACGCGGTGTCTTGAACATAAGCAGTGCTCAGTGAGTGGCTGTCACTGCTGCTACGGTGCATCTCACAAAGCACAGTCAACAACACAGTGCCCCAAACTTCGGACACAATTTCCCCTCATGAAGAACTGAACACGCTGGAAGAAGTGTAGCAATTAAGCCAAAACCTAAGTTAAATGTCAGATTTCTAGGGGAAAATAACCTTCCTACTTAAGGAAGTCTCACCTCTGACCTTCTGAGTCAAGATCACCCTCCATAATGACTGACATTCAGTTTCCACTTAACGATTTAACCTCCTTGAGAACAGTCTAAAATAATCACTACTGTGGTCAGGAGACTTGGATTCAATGTCAGCTGCACTGACATGTACTGACCACAGTAACTTTTCTCCGTGCCCACCAAACGTAAAACCCTGTGCCAAGCACTGCTCTGCCCACGCTCCCCACAGCCACAGCTGCGTCCTCCCAGCCAGCGCCCGTGCAGGGGCAGGCGCCGCGGGGGGCTCCTGGTACACGGCAGACGAGAACTGGGGAGGAAGAGCCTGATGGGGAGCCTCGGGGAAGGTGTCAGCATCTCTTTATTCGTAGACACGCACCATGAGGTCCCACACTGGAGAGTCCGTCCAGCGGTTCTGAGCTCAGACTCCTCCCACCTCTGTCCAGCACCTCTGAAGATTCAGAACCAGAACTGCAGTGTCATTCCGTCCTCATCCACCCAAACGGGGGGGACTGGATGCGTTATTCTGAAGAACTGCCCGGTTTTCAGAGAGCGTGTGCCCATGTTAAGCAGCACGTGCGCCGATTCCTAGAGACCGTGGAGGGCTCGCCACTCACAGGCAGATGTCCGGGTCTCTGGAAGGCCTCACGTGCAAACACGCTCTCCTCAAGTCCACTTGCAAACTGAATAAAATGTGGGAGGCAGAAAACAACACCTGACCACGGATGCTTGCTCCTTGGTGCACTGGAGGGAAGCTTCTCCCTCCCACAGCGAGGCGCTGACCCTCGCCCACAGGAGCACAGCAGGTGAGGGAGAAGACAGCGTGGCCGCCTCTTCGCGCTCCCTGTCGTGAACCATCACTTTTTCTGTTTTAATGGATGTAATGTTACCCCAATTAAATTACATTATACTATTTCCCGGGGGGGGGGGGGAAGCAGCGCTGCTTCTTCAAAGAACAGAATAACGTTTAAGAGTGATTTCAGGGAGCATGCAAGGAGAAGAGATGGCGCCATCACAGGTTAAAGCTTTGGTGACAACACCAGGAGGAAAAAACCCAGACACATTCGTTACATAAAAATGCACATAGGTTCGTGAGGAAAAAATCAATTTGAGCTTATGAATTCTTTCAGGAGCCGCTGAAAGAAATCTTCAGATTCAGGAAAACAAAGTTCTGAGGTTGGGGAAGTACATGCTTCGAGTCCTGACACCACCAGGGGCAAAATGGTTGATTAGCCGGATGAAGCGAACGGGACCCTGGCGGTTGATCAACACTTCCTACCCAGCCCCGGTGTAGGGATTTCCCAGCTTGTGACATAAAATCGTTTCTTGCAGTGGTTCAAAGCTAGGGTGTCCCTCGAATATGAACACGAGGGTAATCCTAGCAGTCTTGTTGTTGCCCTCAGAACGCATGTCCTGCCCTGGCCAGTTTGGCTCAGCGGTTAGAGCGTCGGCCTGCGGTCCGGAGAGACCCGGGTTCAGTTCCCGCTAAGGGCACATACTTCGGTTGCAGTTTGTCCCCGGCCCTGGTTGGTCGTGCGGTGGCAGCCACTCGATGTGTCCCTTCACGTCGATGTTTCTCTCTCCCTCTCCCTTCCTCTCTCTCCCTCCCACTCTATCTGTACAAAAAATGGAAAAATATCCTCGGGTGAGGATAACAAAAAAAAGAACGCATGTCCCGCTTACCCCGGCTGTCCCTCTCACCTTAATGTGGGACGCGTTGATGTAACCGGTGTTGTTTTCTTTGGTCGGGACCAACTCCACCCTGGCATTGTCGTAGGGAAGCACATCTTGGAATCGGTTTCTTTCTGCATTTTCGGGGAGTCGCGCTGTGGAGCACTCCCCATCAACGAGCCGTTTCTTGAGAATCCTTTCATACTCTGTGAACACCATTCCCTGTTCTAACCGCTGTTCCAGAATTTTACACTGCAAAACAGGACAGGTGGGACAAGATGAAGCGATCCATGCCACAGATGCAGTTCCCTGTACCTCGGAAATCTCTCGTTTCAGGTCTAGCATTACCTAATGTTGGAAATTCTTGGTGAGACCAAAGCTGAATTTTTACCAAGCCGTAACAACAACAAATGAAATCATCTCATTGGTGAGAAATCAAGGCAAAGTTCAGTTTAAAGTAAAAAAAAAAAAAAAAAAGGCTAAAGCAATTTTGAATTCATTTTCTCTAAATTTATGGTCAGTTTTGTGATCCCTATGAAACATAAAATTCTCCTGGAGAATAGTAAACCCTAGAGTAGGATAATCAATTTCAACATCTATGAACGAACGTTTCCATCTTATAATATATAATTATGTAAAAAACTGAGAACAGCAGTAAACATGGGAAACCATCTCCGGGATCCAGTGGTGAGCAAGCTAATTTTTGCTTAGCGTAATTCATGCCTGTCTTGGGCACAAAGGAAGTTTTGAAACAAGTTGGTAACCCCTGGCTGTTGAGATAAGTTTTCAGTGAAATGAATGCAACATCTGCTCTCCCTCCTGGGTGCACTCATGCGCGTTTGCAGACTTGCTCTCACTTTAAGGCCATCAAACACCACAACTGCCACAGATGGCTGGAAGAAGGTAAAGAACGTTCAAGAAAAAAAAAAGAAGAAGAAGAAGAAGAAGAACATTCTAGTCTGAAATGATCTGTTCAGACATTAGCTCTAAATCTGCCCCAATTCTGAGATCCAGATTACAAATTCCTTACCACTCAGCTGGGATTCCCGAATGTGTCGGAAATCCACTGACTCTCGGGAAGCAGCTGGCAGCCCACGTCCCATACGTACCCTCTCATCATTGGTGGCTCTGGCCGACACATCCTTCCCCTCATCGGGCAGCGGCAGGCGAGACAGGGAGAGTCCATTCAGGGCAGCCAGTTTGAGAGGACCGATTTTTTTTGCATCTACTCGGCTCTTTTTCATTCCCTACAAGAATATTGATATGTATATATGAAATATACACAAATACAACCTTTAAAATCTTCAAAAAAGGGCTGAAGACTGGAAGCAGAGGAGAAATCACACTCCTTCACACACCGGCACACACAGCTGTTTGACACACATTAGGAGGACGGGTTCCTCTCGAGGCGGGAGCCCTGATTCGTCTTCCAGATAGGAGGTTTTGAAATGCAGCTGGTTTCAGGGCTCTGTTGTAATAAGAGGTGAGGCTGCAGGCAGACAGCATTCCTGTGCAGAGCTCCCAGCTTCAAAACATGGCACACCAAAAAGTCAGCTGGGTCCACAAAAAGGGTTTCAAATGCAATTACTCAATTGCAAGAAGCTTTGGTAATTCATTATTTTGCCATTGACTTTTTTTTTTTTTAGATAGAGTGGGAGGGAAGGAGAGAGAGAGAGAAACATTGATGTGAGAGAGATCAATTGGTTGCCTCCAGCACCACCCTGACCAGGGCCGGGGATCAAACCTGCAACCAAGGTACGGGTCCTTGACCAGAAATTGCACCCACGACACTCTTTTAGGCCAAAGCTCTAATGGCTGAGCCAAACTGGCCAGGGCAGCTCTGGTAATTTTAAAAATATATAAATTCGGCCCTGGCCAGTTTGGCTCAGCGGTTAGAGTGTCGGCCTGCAGTCCTGAGAGACCAGGGTTCGGTTCCCGCTAAGGGCGCATACCTCGGTTGCAGTTTGTCCCCGGCCCTGGTCGGTTGTGCAGGTGGCAGCCACTCGATGTGTTCCTTCCACATCGATGTTTCTCTCTCTCTCTGTTCCTCTCTCTCCCTCCCACTCTACCTGAACAAAAAATGGAAAAATGTCCTCGGGTGAGGATAAAAAAATATATATATAATACATGTATATATATATATATGTATACACATATATATATAAATATATTATATATATATATATAAATAAATTCGGCCCTGGCCAGTTTGCTAAGTGGTTAGAGCGTCAACCCGTGGACCAGATTCAGTTCCCACTAAGGGCACGTACCTCGGTTGCAGTTTGTCCCCGACCCTGGTTGGGGTCGTGTGAATGGCAGCCACTCGATGTTTCTCTCTCACATCAATGTTTCTCTCTCTCTCTTCCTCTCTCTCTTCCTCCCTCTCTCCCTCCCACTCTATCTGAAGATAAATGCAAAAGTGTCCTTGGGTAAGGATAAAAAATAAATAAAAATATATAAATTAGTTCTATAAATCACTCTGAAAAATAAACTGTTTCCTGTGGTAGCTCTGTCCTGTTCTGCAGTATGTGACCTGGACTGGATCACCACACCTCAGAACCACGTTTTCAAACCAGGAAAATCAAACAGGGTTGAAATCTACACCTTGCTGCCAGGAAGACCAGGTATGATAGAACACATCAACAGAAGCTGTCTCCTGAGAACAGGTGTTCCTAAACTTACTAATAAAGCAAATGAGTTTCTTCTATAAGGCAAATAAGCCTAAGAATGCTAACTTTCCTTGGATATTCTACACCTCCTTGGAAGCCATAATGATTGCAACAACATTAGCCCCAATTTAAAAGAAATGGTTTTCTGCCCAGCCAGTATAGCTCAGTGGTTGAGCATCGACCCATGCACCAAGGGGTCACGGATTCAGTTCCAAGTCAGGGCACATGCCCAGGTTGTGGGCTAAATCCCCAGTGTGGGGCATGCAGGAGGCGGCCCATCGATGTTCTCTCTCATCAATGTTTCTATCTCTCTCCCTCTCCCTTCCTCTCTCTCTAAAAATCAATCAATAAAAAATAAATAAAAATTTAAAAAGTAATGTTTTTCTCAGTTCTCATAAATAAAACCAGCTCTACCTGCTTGGGAGGGAGAGAGGGATAGGGAGACAGGAACAGAGGGAGTGAGGGAGGCTAAAAGGTTCCCGTGCAGGCGAAAATGCCATGATTCCGAACGTGAGCAAAAGGCTGGTATGCTGACCAACGTCTAGCAACCGGCTCTCTGGCGGGGGAAGTTCTGATTTGTCAAGTTTGCCAATTTCCATGGTGCAAATAACCCCACCATGGACAATTTCAAACTGCCACAGTAACGTCACCTGAATCACAAGGGTCCTGAAGATCCAACAATCAGTGCTGCCAGCCAGGACGGGGCGGCTCCAAGGCGCAGCCGGGATACCGGAGGGAGCCGATGGGCTCCAAGGTCAGTTACAATCCGGTGTTTTCAAACATCCAGTCAAATGCAGCCTCACATACCCTTTCCTTAGCCCTCAGTGTACAAGCACATGGTTTTAAATGCACAACCTGCAGAGTGATTTCTTACATGAGAACCACCACACAGCACTAAGGGTGCGACAGGAAAGTCTGCACGAAGCTGCGTGAGCACTGAAACCAGTCCACCTTTTCCAGATAGCAATCAGGTCCCTGGAGGTGGAGACGGGTGGAGAATTCTAAAATATGTCTGCTTGTCTGCAATTTATTTCACTGTTTTCAATACTAAATCTCTATAACCTCAATTCACATTGGTATGTGAACAGTTTCTTTGTTGTGATAGTTAAACAATACAATGGCAACAGGGCTGAGCACTTCAATTCTTGGGAAGCCAGTAAGTTAGATGTGTGATGCAATATTACAGCACTAAGTGCAATCTGAGCACTTTCTATGCAACAGGCCCTCACGTGATCCCCCAACTACTCTCAGGGGGCATCTTCCTTGACAAAAGAAAAAGCTAAGTCAGGGAGTAACGATCTTGCCCAAGGTCACACAGCTGCCTCGTCATATAGAGAGAAATGGCAATTAGTGTCAAAATAGTAAATACCGCCTTTCATTAAAACCAGTTAGGCTGTGCCATTTGACCCAGTGATCCACTTCTAGGACTAGACCCTAAGAAACCTGAAACACCAATCAGAAAGAATATATGTACCCCTATGTTCATAGCAGCACTATTTACAATAGCTAACATCTGGAAACAACCCAAGTGTCCATCAGTAGATGAGTGGATTAAAAAGCTGTGGTACATGTACATAATGGAATACTATGCAGCTGTAAGAAAGAAAGATCTCTTATCCTTTGAGATGGCATGGAAGGACCTGGAGAGTATTATGCTAAGTGAAACAAGCCAAGCAGAGAAAAGACAAATATCACATGATCTCACTTATCTGTGGAATATAATGAACTAAACAAACTGCCGAACAAAATTAACCCAGCCCTGGCCAGTTTGGCTCAGTGGTTGGAGCATTAGCCTGCAGACCAGAGAGTCCCAGGTTCAGTTCCTGCTAGGGGCACGTACCAAAAAAAAAAATTAACCCAGAGACATGGAGGTGGGGTACAGACTGACAAGCCTCAGAGGAGGAGGGGTTTGTGGGGGAAGAGATAAACCATAGAACTTACAGGCATGTATGTATGACCAATGAACATAGACAACAAAGCTGGGAATGGGGGGAGCGGAGGAGGGTGTTGATGGGGGGGGGGAATGAGAAACATCTTTAACAAAAACAAATTAATAAATAAAAAATTTAAAAAGACAAGTTTAAAAAAATAAAACCACTGAGGCTGCATCATGGGACTCAGGAGCATTTTTCATGCCTGTCCTTGTGAAGGACTTAACACAATGCCACAGCAGGCAAAGCAAAGATGACTGTCCCCATGTGACAGACGGAGAAGCTGAGGTTCTCGTGCATGAAGGGCCCGGCTCACTGAACAGAGAACTAATGAAACAGGCAGACTCTAGCCCCAGCCAGGTGGCTCAGTTGGTTGGAGTGTCATCCTGTACACCAATAAGGTTTCAGGTTCGATTCCCAGTCAGGGTGGATATGGGAGGCAACCCATAGATGTTTCTCTCTCTCTCTCTCTCTTCCCCCCGCTTCTTCCTCTCTAAAATCTATAAACATATCCTCAGGTGAGGATTTAAAAAAAAAAAAGAAAAAAGGCAGGGTCTAGACTCAGACCCAGTTTTTCCACTCACAGGTCCTGCACCTTCCCCTGGCCACAGCTCCCACGCACATTCTTTGAGTAAGGAGAATCCCTTATGGGAAAAGGAGGGGAACAAAAGCATAAGCCAATCACATAGTTTTATTATTACTACTGTAGGTTTTAAAAGTCAATGAAGGAGACAATTTGTGTGTATGGTTTTTTAATATTTTTTTTTATTGATTTTTTTAGAGAGGAAGGGAGAGAGAGAGAAACATCATTGTGAGAGAAACACATCACTCGGCTGCCTCCTGCACGCCCCCTACTGGGGATTGAGCATGTGCTCTGACCAGGAATCGAACTGGGACCTCTCAATCCAGGGAAAGACGCTCAATCCACTGAGCCACACCAGCTGAGCGAAAATTTGTATTGTTAGAGAACCAAATTGGTCAATGTCTTCAGATTTAGCAGCACTTGCTAGGCCCGCCAGTGGACTGAGTGTCCTCCCATGGACTGAGAGGTCCCAGTTGGATTCCTGGTCGGGACACATGCCGGGTTTCAGGCTCAATCCCCAGTAAGGGGCAAGCAGAAAGCAGCCAATCGAAGTGTCTCTCTCACATCAATGTCTCTATCTCTCTCTCCCTTCCTCTCTCTCTCTCTTAAAAAAAAAAAATCAATAAAAACATATTTTTAAAAATGCACAGGGAGCCCAGCAGGTGTGGATCAATGGCTAAGCGTCAACCCATGGACCAAGAGGTCACTGGTTAGATTCCCAGTCAGGGCACAAGCCTGGGTTGCAGGCTTGATCCCCAATAGGGGGCATGCAGGAGGCAGCCCATCGATGTTTCTATCTCTTCCTCCCTCTCACTTCCTGTCTCTCTAAAAATAAATAACGTATTTAAAAGAAATTTTAAAATGCACAGGGACAAGAGACTTGAATAGTGGACCACACTCAACACAAGTATCGTCTAGGAAAAAGGCTCAGGTCACATGAAAATGGTGAGGAGATTATGAAAGAGCCCGTCCAGCGGGCTCAGGGGCTCCAGCAGAGCTACCTGGAGGACCCATCCACACCTGTCCCCCCGGAGTCACTGATTATGAGCCCACACCTTCGGCCAGCCCGAGACACTGGCCTTTATTGTGCAGGTGGGCGAGTCGAAATTTAAAAATTTTGTCCCCTCAAAAAAATTAAAAGTAAACTTAAAATTAAAACCCAAAATTCATTAAAAGAAAATACATTTAAGTCCATAACACTATTGTAAACAGTTTTAGTTCATGGATATTTATGTTTCATAAGCACAATGAACACTGTGTGGATTTTTTCCTACTTATGAAGATATTTATAGCATCTCGGAGGACTTAAACTGCAAGGCCAGAGCCACACTTGCGAGGGGCCCTCAAGTCTGAGCTCTCAGTCTAGCGGCGTTGAGGGGACCTGGCTGCCAGGACACTGGGAGCAGTGGGGACAGACGGACTGGTCAGCAGATCACTTCAGGTGGGCCGGAGCGCAGGGCAGGGGGAGTGGCGGCCGAGCCAAGAGGAGCGGGGGCCTGAGCGATGCAGCAAGGCAACTTAGAGTGGACACGCTGACACAACAAGGCCACGAATGCTTAGCCACAGCTTGGGGACTCAACGTTAAAAGGTTTCAGTGGAAAGACAGAGAATAGGAAGGCTTAGATAAGCAATTAGTACTTAACAAAATGTTATACACAATATAACTGGATGGAGAACAGTGTAGCAGATAAGAGAACAGGTTGCAGAGATACACATGGGTTTAAAATTCCAGTCCAGTCCCTCACGGCTGTGTGACCTTGGGAAAGTAACTTAATATCTCGGAGACCACTTCCCCATCTCGGAACAATAGGACTACTGTAAATCAACAAGCTAGGCAGAGCTCGGTGACCTGAAAACAGCAGCCAGAGATGAGGATAATCCTGCTCTTTCATATTTCACTTTCAATCGGTAAGATGTGCTTAATCGGTTCGTGGTCATTTATTACACTGACTATTAAAGAGCTGCATCTCCCACCAGGGACCTTCCTCGGGCTCTCAGTTCATTTCATCTTTCTTTCAAAGAGACCTGGCTCTTTCCTGACAAAGTGCCACCTCCCCAGCTCCAGGATCCTGCTCCAGCCCTCAGGGCTCAGGGCCAACATCTGAAGCTGTATCCACACGGCCAGCATAAGGACCCGGGGATGCTGCTCTCAGACACCCCACCAGCAAACCAGCAAACGGCACATCGGCCCTGGGCTGCAGCGGCTCTGGGACGGTTCACAGGCGGCTGACAAAGCATCTGGGCTCCAGTCGGGAAAGCTTAACTTCCTTTTCATTCACGCTGCCTTGTTGAAACATTGCATTCATTCTTTCTACTCCATTCCACAGGGCTTCCAACATTCACTTTCTCTGATTTTCTCTAGAAAACCCACTAACATCTAATCAATCTCTATTACTTCTATAGATAATCAAACTCAAATAGGTTCCCAATAAGACAACAATACAGTAAAGGAGGGAGAGGGGGGAAAAAATGTTAAAAGAAAAGCTGGAAACGTCAGAAGTAACGAGTCAAGGAAAAGGCTCCAGGAGCGTGGACAGTGTGGAGAGGACAGGCTGGGGCACACCCGCACCCTGAACACTTACCCCTAACGGCGGAAGTCCCTCAACAATGTTCTTCTTTCCCGAGAGGAGGTCGGACACCGGCCTCTTCTTCAGAGAATCCCTCCTGGCCCGGTACCTCCCCGACGTGGTGAGGTCAGACTCGGACATGGAGGGTGTCAGCAGCCCGTCTCTCCTGGGCCGCTGGGCTTCCACCAGCACATGCACCGGGCTGCCCGCCCTCCCCCTCCTCTCGGCCTCTGCGACATGGGACTTGGGCTCCAGGATGTGCAGAGGGCCCACGCCTGGAGTGACCGAGGCACAGGAGTAGCCCGTCTGCGGCTCTTGGGAGTAACTGCCCCGGGGGTCACGTGCCTGTGGGGAGAGCACGGCTGGTGCTTTGCTCTCCTCCTCAAAGCCCTCCTCCTCCTCACTGCTGTGGATCAGCATGGTGGCATCCGAGAGGGACTTGTTGTGACCGTATCTCAGGCCCTCCTGCTCGGCCGTCTCTCCTCGTTTTGCTCTCTCAGTGAAGACATTTGGCTGGGAGCCTGCTGAGCTAGCCCGAGGGGCCACGTCTGCGGCCGAGGCCGACATGGTCCTCTCCTTGAGCCTCAGGCCTTCGAAGCTGTGAGTCAGGCCCGCGATCTCGATGCTGTTCCTCTTCTGCAAGTGAGCATGCCGGGCTGCGGTGAGGGGCTCGCTGACCTCCTGCAGCGAGTGGGCCACCGGCAGGCTGTCCTCCTGGAACGTCTGGACCGAGTGATGGACTCGCCGGGTGATGAGATCCGGGTTGCTGCTGCTGATGTAGAGGTGGCGGGACAGGTCCGGGGTGCTGTTGGCGGGCCTCGGGTAAGGGTAGGGTGGGGGTGGGCGGTACACCTGAGTTTTCATGATGTTTGGGGCTGGGTAATCCTGGGCCTGGAGCTGCACGTTGGTCAGCTCGGGAACACTGACGGCGCCCACCACGGGCCGCCTCTCCGTGGGGTAGGGGTAAGGAGACTGGCTGTGGAAACTGTAATTCAGACTGAACGGACAGTGGGCCGACTGGGGGGAGGTGAAGTGGGCATGCTCCCGGATCTCAGGCTGGCTGTAGACCAGCGCGTCGGGCCTGCTGTAGGCGTACGAGTTGCCGATGCTGAGGTTTCTCAGCGAGTGGCTCTGCCTCTCCGCGTGGACCATCCCCCTGTTGAGCTGCTTCATCACAGTCTCGTAATCTGGGGTCGGGCGGTAAGACGGGGGTATCAGCGCACTGTGCCGATGCGAGGGGATGTAGTCGGGTCTCATGACGTCGCTCCCGGTGATGCTGGGGTTGGAGGACATGGGCGAGGGCTGCGGGAAGGGCTGCGGGTTGTTTAGGGAGCTCGTGCTGTGTGCGCTGTAGACACTGCCGTTCCGGATTCGGCCGCTGAGGTCGATCTGGGCTCGATCCAAACTCGTCTGAGAATGACAGTAGTACCCGTTCTGGTTCGTCACAAACAGGTTATCTGGGGTGGGGAGGGGGACATTTAAAATATGTTTTAGAATGAGATTTTTTTTTTTAATGTGCTAAATTGGACTAATTACTGCAAATATTGAGAGAGGTCTTGAATGCTGACGACATATTCATAAAAAGCATGCTGAAATGACCTGGCCTTCCCCACTCGCTCTGTGGGGCCCCAGGCAGGTCATTTCCAGGGAACTCGACATCCCCATCTGCAGAGTGGGGACGGCCCTGCTCTGAGGACGGTGCTCATGACCCAGCCAAGATGAGCTCAATCTTAGTCCAATACTAAAAGCCCAATTGTAACACAAAACACTGTCTTTTTCTGAAAGTCAAAAACATGTTTCACTAGAGAGATGAAACAGCCCTGGCTGGTTTGGCTCAGCGGTTAGAGCGTTGGTCTGCGGTCTGGAGAGATGAAACAGACCTGCCGGAACTCTGGGGAGGGACAGGCAGAGACAGCACAGCACGGGAGGCCACCAACCCTGCTTCATGCTCGTCCTTAAATGGAACCGGAGCGTGTCTGTACAGGCTCTTCCGAATGAGCACAAAAGGGCAGCCGTTCAGCCAAACCCAAGCTTCTCCAGGTCCACCAGTGTCACCAGTAGCTGTACGAGGGGCCAGGAGCCAGAAGAACCACGCTGACTTGGCCACACCTGCACCCTGCTCCAGCCCCCACGCTTCAGCAAGACTGGGGTCCACAGAGAGACTCAGGCGCGCAGTCCAATCGACAGAGGCGACCTGTGTGTGTGCCTGTCCGGGGCGGGAAGAGGCATGCTTCCGCCAGCCCATCTGTGTCCACGTGAAACCAGTAAAGCTGATCTCCAACACTTCAAGGTGAGCAGCAGTGAAGTGCGTCCGAGCACAGCCTTTGAAAGGCTAAGAGCTGCCTATAAAGTGACTACACCACACACAGTCCAGTGTCCGGGCTCCGTTCTGGTGGCACTCAGCCACAAGGACACAGGACCCAGATGCACCATCGTGTTCTTACTGCGGATGCCCGATGCTTCTTGCCCCGGGACTCTTCCCACACCTGGAACACGTGCAATCGGAGTCGGGAGCCTCCTCTTCTCTGTGCCGGCAGCGCTCAGGCCCTCGCGGCAGCCTGTCTGGACGAGCACCACCCCACCCCCCGCTCTCCCTGCCTCCAGGCTCCTCTGTGCACCCCACAGACATCCATTTGTGAGCCCGCGTGTGTAAAACACTTTGCTAAGAGCTGACGGGGGGATGACTGGAGTCCAGTCAAGTAGAAGGGCCGTGTTGATGGGGACAGAGAAGAGGAGATCAAGGACCACCTCACAGAAGATGCGGCCTTGGAGGCCTTAAGGGATGGGGGCGAGGGGGAGGCACACCCAGCTTTCGCCAGTAGCGGGTCCGCGTCCGAGCGCACACAGGGTTATGCTGCCTCACCTCTGGCGCCCAGGCATCGCCAGGGACTAGAGATGGTCAGGGGAACACGAGCACAGGTTGACAACCAGCTTCCATGCTCTCCTCCCCTGCCTTCCTGGCCAGCAGCATTCCCGACGGAAGCAGGGGCCTCCGGCCAGTGCAGGAAGGCCAGGTACCTAGCAAGAAGTAACCTCACCTGTGTGAGCCATGGAGCACTTAGAACTGCTTGTTCCCACAGCACAACCCATCCCATCCCGACCGGGCGAGCATGTGGGCGGGAGGGGCCGGGGGACAAGGGCATTTGGGTGACAGCAGCAAGGGCCAAGCGGAGACCCTCCCAAGGCCACGCTCAGTGTGGCTGGGCCTCAGGTAGCTGGAGAGGAGTCAGGAACGGTGAAAATAAGACTGGAAAAGCAGCACGAGGGAGTGTCGTGGGGTGAACACCAGGCAAGGGAAGGCCATCAGGGAGCTGTGACGAGCCTGGGAGACTGGACACTGAAGGTGTCAGCGCCTGGGACATGAGCGGTGGTGAGAGGTTTAGAAAGAAGCGGACTGCTTCAGGTTCAGGGGGAGGAGGAAGAAGAAGAGATATTATTATTATATGAAGTTAGAGGCCATAGGATTTTGGTTGTTGCTGTTAATCCTCACCCAAGGATATTTTTCCATTGATTTTTTTTTAGATACAGCGGGAGGAAGGGAGGAAGAGAGACAAAGAGAAACATTAATGTGAAACACATCCAACCAGGGCTGGGGGTTGACTCTGTAACCCAGGTCCATGCCCTTGACCAGGAATTGAACCCATGATCTCCGGTCCGCGGGCCGGCGCTCTAACCACTGAGCTGAACCAGCCAGGGCAGAGGCCATAGGATTTGTAACTGACTGCAAGTTGAGGGCAGAAAAGAAAAATTACATGCAGTTTGGAATCCAAGCAACCAGGAGAGGGACTTCACGGTAAAGATGCAGGAACGTGGGAAAGGGATCAAATTTGGTACTTCAGTCAATGCTCAGCAAGTGTGATAGCCAGTAATACTGCTGAGTGCTTATCACAGCCAGGCCCTCTGCTGGGACCGGACCCGCCGCAGCTCCCCGCCTGCATGGCCATAGCAGGCCTGGAACCGTGAGGATCGAACCCGCCTCAGCTCCCCACCTGCATGGCCATAGCAGGCCTGGAACCATGAGGATCGGACCCCCTGCAGCTCCCCGCCTGCATGGCCACCAGCAGGCCTGGAACCGTGAGGATCGGACCCGCCGCAGCTCCCCGCCTGCATGGCCACCGGCAGGCCTGGAACCGTGAGGATCGGACCCCCTGCAGCTCCCCGCCTGCATGGCCACCAGCAGGCCTGGAACCGTGAGGATCGGACCCGCCGCAGCTCCCCACCTGCATGGCCATAGCAGGCCTGGAACCGTGAGGATCGGACCCCCTGCAGCTCCCCGCCTGCATGGCCACCAGCAGGCCTGGAACCGTGGGGCTGGCGCACAGGTGTGAGGAAGAGGTGGGAAGTACAGATCGGGTGCTCATCCTTGGTGAAATCTGAAACGTGGACGAGCCTGCACAGGGAGGAGGCCACAAGGGACAGACATCGGAGCGGTGTACACTGACGGTGCAGGAGGAGGGCGAAGGCAGCACCCCGAGATTTTCCAGGAAAATCTGGACGCTGGACGCTGACAGTACGGAGGATGTGTGGGTGCTGGGGGCCCAGGGGTGTTGAGCAGAGGGGGAGTAAACGGGTAAGCAACCAGCAGCAGCACACAGGCATCCCTCAGAAGAAGGGGATGAAAAAGGAAAGGGAAAAAAATCAAACCGTGGTTGGAAGAGAGAAGAGACGAAAAAATATTGGCATGTTTGTGGACCCAAGAAAAGAAATGAGTAGGAAGGAAACACTAACAACTCGAAGTGAAGAGCCTCTTCCCAGGAGTACGAGGGCAGGTCCCCAACCCGGCGAGGGTAGGGTGCGAGGAGAGGACAGTGAGAGGAAAATCATCCCAAGGTGGACACGCCCCGAGTCCACACCCCAAAGCGCTGCTCCCCTACTGCCACCTCAGGGCGCGGAAATTCTCGTCTTTACCACCCAGCCCGGCACAAGGGCACAAGCGTTTCCGTCCACCCACCTCTGTCCCCTCGGGCATCAGTCCTGCTCCGTGTGAACTCACTGGACCACTTTCCTCCCCAAACACCCTTCTCCTCACGCTGTGCTCCCAAACCAGCAGTGGCAGGTACCCCCCCGCCTGAGGCCCAGAAAGCCCTTTTCAATCTCCCCAACGCGAGGAGACTCATTCTTCCACTGAACAGCACAGAGCTCCTTGCTCTCGCTCATCAAAACAAGCATGTTCTCTTTGTACTGAAGTTAGTTGTGTACTTGTCTTATCCCCAGCTCTTAGATTCTAAGCTTAAGATGTGGAATGACTTCTCTGCTCAAGTTCCTTGGCCTCTACAGTAGATCCTTGTGGGCAAAGGAGAGAGTAAATGTTCAATGGATGCTTGAGATTCGGCTTTGGAAGCACTTTCTTAAACACAGCTCCCTATACTAATCAAGTGAAAAAGAGAAATAAATTTCAACAAGTGAAATGTTGAAACCTCCGCAACGGCAAGGCCTCAGGCAGGGAAAACAGGGTGCACCTGAGACGTCGGGCACCGGAAAGCGAGGACTCAGAGAAAGCTAACGGCGGGGCATTAACAGGACATCACAGCAACCCAGTGGCCGAGGAGCCAAGGGGCCAGCTCGGGATCACGTGAGCATCAAAATGTAACACATATGATCCAGCGATTCTTCTTCTGGGTATCTACAAAAATATATGAAAATACTAATTCATGGAGATATACCTGCACTCTATGTCCACAGCAGCATTATTTACAATAGCCAAGACATGGAAACAACCTAAGTGTCCACTGATGTATGAATGGACAGAGAACAGGTGGTACAAATGCACAATGGAATACTACTCAGCCATAAAAAGAATAAAGTATGACCATATGTGGCAACATGAATGAATCTTGAGGGTATTATGCTAAGAGAAGTCAGTCAGAAAAGGATAAAAGCCATCTGATTTCACTCTTCTGTGGAATATAAAACAAAGGAACATACAAACTAAAAAAAACAAACTCACAGATATAGACAACAGAATGGTGGTTCCCAGAGGGGAAGAGGGGTGGGGGAGGGCAAAGTAGGTAACGTGGGTCAAATATATGGCAACATAAGGAAACTAGATTTTGGGGGGTGGGCACACATTTGAGTATACAGATACCAAATTATAATGTTGTACACCTGAAAGTTATGTTATTAACCAATGTTACCTCCATAAATGTAATTTTTTAAACATTTAATACAGTAGTCCCCCCTTTATCCGTGATTTTGCTTGCCGCAGTTGCATTTACCCACACTCAACCATGGTCCAAAAATATTAAACTGAAAATTCCGGATATTTGGGGAGAAAGAAGGAGAGAGCACGTTCACATAACTTCTATTACGGCATACTGTCATGATTGTTCCATTTTATTATTAGTCCTTGTTCATCTCTTACTGTGTCTAATTCATAAATCAAACTTTATCGTGCCCATGTATGTATAGGAAAAAGCATGGTACACACAGGGTTCAGTACTCTCCGCGGTCCCGGCATCCACGGGGGTCCTGGAACATGTGCGTGGGTAAAGGAGGACTCCTGTGCTGCGGATTCTCTACGCACGTGCAAGAAGCCGGATACAGGCATCCTCCACGAACCTAGCACGGCTCTCATCATGACAGCAATTTTGGACGTCACCTCAGCCAGAAATTATACTGGCTTCATGATTTCCAGATCCTCAACATTTATCAAATTGTAATCATTTTGTAAAGCACTTGAGAAACAGAGAAACAGGGCCCCTTACCTTGAGAAGAAGTGTACGGCTCTGTATAATGCCCGTTATAATGCAGCGGGGGTGGGGGCGGCATCACATAGGGCTGAGGTTTCGGCTGAGAAACGGCAAGTTGGAGACAGGGTTAGAACACAATGCCGAGGTCACACGTCACTTCTGCTGGCTTCTTTCTCTCCACTGAAAAACCCTGCAGGAGTCACAAGCCCAACACATGCAAGGCAAACAGCTCTGGCTGCGTGTGCCACCCCCACCGTTTCCCAGGGTGGCAATGCCAAGCGCCCGGCTCGGATGTCAGGCACAAGAAAACGTGCCGTGTCCACAGAGTTCGGAGCAAGGAGGAATACACAAAAATCTCCTGAATTCGTATATAAACACTTGAATATAAGAAGTTTGTATATATTTAATCTTACTAGGCAAGATTGTCCAAAATTTTAAATATCTACTAACTTCTGATTACTCTTAGTTAATAGTCAACATTTTAAATATTAGGCTGGATCTAATATTTAAAATGTATAATATAATAAATATCATATCGATATTGGGCTTAACCTATGGAAAAAAAAAATCACCACTTCTTTGCCAAAAAACACCAAATACCGACACACTTTCGTGGTTCAAACTAAAAACTAACACTACCACAAGCCTAGTTTATTAAGGAAGACGACATCACTAAAAGAAGAACAGTAATCGAGGTTTTCCCTCTTTCTTACCAGAGACATTCTGGAAGAAGACCTCCTCCTAATCAGGTTCACTGTGACCGTTGGAGTTTGCCTGTAAAATAAGACACGTCTTTGAGAAGAACACACATATACACTCAACCACACAATCTTCCTAATAATACCAAAATAAATTAATAAGAAGGTAAAATGATAAAAGTTCCAAAGCAAAAAGAGAAAGCAATCCCATCATAAATCTGAGACAAGGAAGGAGAGTCTCTCCCTACGGGCCTCGGCCCCTTGCTGCTGCCCAGACCCCTCTGACCACTTCAGGGGCTCAGCCTTCTCAGGGAGCATCAGCTGCCCGGACTCCCAGACGGGCCGGCAGGGGTAACTTCCCCTGGTCCATCCGGGAAAAGCCGCTGCAGTGACCATAAGCAGAGGGGGAAAGAGGTGAGGTGAGGCCAGGCCACCCACAGAGTCATCCCAGAGGAAGCAAAGCTCCAAATGCACTGCTATGGGCCTGGCTCAGTCAGCGCTGACCACGCTCATCAACACTCCCACGGGGTGGCCATCCGCTGCCAGCCCGAGAGCCAGCAGCCACAGAAACTGCCTTTAATTAAAAATTTGTTTCATTAACACACTACAAACGTAATGAAGAGATCAATTTATAACTCTGGTAATTTAAGAACCTATATTTCTTCTAAGGAACTAAGTTAAGGAAAGCAAAAAAGTAGGAAAATCAGTTTAGTGGGCCTGCGGTAAACCCGTTTACCTTGCTTTCAAGAAACTTCTCTGGTTCTCAATGTACTTTTTAAAAAGCACTGAGAATATTAAGGAGGGTCAACTGACATCAGATAATCTGAGAGTTTAAACTATTTGCAAAAGTCCTGTCTCTGAATAAAATCAGGTCCAAGAGGGAACAAGAAACAGAAAAGCGCAGTTGGAATCCTATCGTTTTGAAACACAGGCAGGTATTTTTTTGTTTCTATGTGGTCAGTTTCGTCAAAAGTAAGATCTAGGAACCTAAACACTAAGGATTCTTGGCTTTGTTGGTGACTTACATAATTTGGTCAAAGCACTTTTTAAAAAACCTTTCGCCATCTGCTTCTGGCACATGAGCTTATGAGACATGTAATTACTGATTACAAAAATATATTTTGTGACCTTTGGTTATAGTGCTCTAAGGACTAATGACGAGAAAATCCACAATCACCAAGTGAACACTCACACCATTTAATCAGCACATGTCCCATAACATCAAGCCTCATGTCTCATAACATTCTTCGTACTCTAGCAACTCATATCTTACATTCAAACCCTGTCCATTAGCTTAACATCAGGTGACTACAACTGCTTTTACTGGATGCCTTTTAAAAATTAAATGCTTTCTGTAATAACTTTCATTAGCTTTGGAATGTAATAAGCCTGTTGATGAATAGCTGTCTCTTTTCCAAAGGATACTCCATTCTGCCCGTGTTTATGCTACTCAACAATAAAATAGGTTCGGCCTCTGCTGGACTGCAAAGGTGCCTGTCAACTGGTAAAATATCATACGTGTTGGTCAAGAAGGAGGCCTCCTAGAAACAAGCCAGGAGGGTGCGTCTGGGTGTTGGTGTTGTTTTTAAATAGTCCTTAACTGTATGTTAATATATTCCTAAAACCTGTATCCAGAATTTGAAGACACTGCATTTTGCAGCCTTGAAATTTACTTCACCTTGGCTCCCTCTCCATGGTCAGGGCTAGGCTTAAGCAAATCGGTCCTTTGAAGTGTATCGTTAGCCCAGAGACTCACTGAAATGGACTGACGTTTTAAAGCAGTATAAACTCGAAATTCAGACATGGGGAGAAAGAACTGCTGATAGATCCTCCAGCAGCATGTCCAGAGTTGCCTGGCCTGCAGCAAAAATCAGCTTAAGCGTGTTCAACATAAAATCCAGGGCCGCAGAACGTAGGACACAGGCAGCAACTCCCCCACGCGCTGTCAATCTTGGCGCCTGGCCAGCAGCGCCCAGCATGCCGGCGACACTGCCCACTGCAGACGCCGCTCCTGCCGACCACTAACATGCGGGTACCTCCTCCTCCTGCCAAACTGGCGGAGTCAGTCTCACCACGGCTCTCGTGTTCTAACCTCCTCTTTCTTCATGCCCGAGTGCTCGCCAATGCGTGTACTGTGAAATCGGCTGTCCCGAACTCAGCACACAAGAGGAAATGGTGCAACCTGTGGGTTGTGTATTCCTGACTCTGGGGGCCATTTACAATGCTGATTGATGGTTGCCGCTAAGAACAGACAGGTGAAGGACTCCTGGGAAAACTCACTGGGATGTGTGCACGGGAGAAGACAGAACAAGACAAGGCTGCTGGCCCAAGGGAGACAAGCGACCGCAGTTGCTGAAACAAGGCTGAAGTCTGTACGTGATCACCGCGTGGAACCCAAACCCACCCCGTGAGGGAGGACGGTGATTACTGATTTCACAGATGAAGAAACTGATACTTAGATTAAGTAAATTACTCCCGGTCACGTGGAAAATAAGTAGCAGAATCAGCATTTGAACGGGGCTGGTCTGTCCGCTTTCTGAGGCAGGCTCCTGACAATTGATTATTTGTCTGTACGCCCCTCCCCAAGCCTGATTTGTAAGCTCCATGGAGGCAGGAGCCCAGGTCAGTGTTGCTGGTGCCTGGCCCAGAAAGCCCTCGATGTTTGTTGGACAAATCACACACTGAGGACTCAAGTGAGACTTACTACTAAGCATTGGCAGTTGGGCTCATACTTAGAAGAGTGGTCTGAGTTTTGCTTTGCGAACTTCTTTCCTATAGATGTATGGCCAATGCAGAGGAATGATATTCTAATGGAAAAAAAACGTCGTGGCCCTGGCTGGTTTCGCTAAGTGGTTAGAGCATCAGCCTGCAGACCAGGGAGTCCCAGGTTCAATTCCAGCCAAGGGCACATATCTCGGTTGCAGTTCATCCCCAGCCCCGGTTGGGGTCGTGCAGGTGGCAACTAATCGCTGTCTCTCTCTCACATCGATGTTTCTCTCTCTCTCTCTCCCCCCTTCCCACTCTGTCTGAAGATAAACATAAAAATATCAGGTGAGAATTAAAAAAAAAAAAAAATGCGTCAGATGGTGGAAATACCTAAAAAGTTTAGTCTCTATGACTTTCCTCGAATGGAATAGGGGTTCCTCGGCCTTCTTCCAGGCTCTCATAGTGTCTTCAATCCTGTAGTAGGCCTAGAAGAAGTGGGGTAACCCTACCCTCCTCCCCAGATAGGGCCTTCTCCAGTCAATCTCCTGATCCCCAAAGTCTCCAGAACACAGGCGGACACGGCTGCTGTGCTCACTGACAGCCCTGAATGCAGGGAACACACACCAACCCTTTCACCACGCTCAGCAAGCAGCTTGCTGGTCGCTGAAATCCAACCTCCACCTTGAGAGAAAGTCCGTCGAAACGTCTAGCTCTTGGCTTTCCATGTTTTGGGATCCCATCCTCTCCTCCCCTCCACAGAGAGGGAAGAGAACAGCCTCCTAAGCCAAGAACCTAAGATTCCTTGTCCTCCCTGGGCTTTTTCCACAGAGGACTCCCAGAGGCTGACTGTAGCATGACCAGTTCTGGGGCTGGGGAGGTGGAGAGGGGTTGGAAGAAGTTACTGACCCAATGACTTCCTAATTCAACCCTAAAGGAATATTAAGGTCCCGTTATCCTGTTTAATAAATTAAAACACTAAAAGATTGTTGTTATCTAACTTTTGTTTTTAATCTTCACCTGAAGATTTTTCCATTGATTTTCAGATAGAGTGGGAGGGAGGGAGAGAAACATGGATGTGAGAGAGACACATCGATTGGTTGCCTCCCGCACGACCCCAACCGGGGCCAGAGATCAAATCGCAACCGAGGTACCTGACCTTGACCAGAATTGAACCTGTGACCCTTTGGTCTGCAGGCTGACACTCCACCGCTGAGCCAAACCGGACAGGGCAACATCTACCATTTTTAAGACCTGAGTAACATAAGATGATTCTGTTACCTAATGTACCTTGTTTAAAAGTGGAGGGGGGTGGGGTGGGATCAGGAGGAGGGTGTCAACAGGGGAAAAAGGAGAGACATCTGTAACAAAAATAAATTAATTACTAATTTTAAAAAAGAAAGAAAGAGGTGTTTGGATCTTAATCTCATTTTACTAATAGGATTAAGGTGGTCCACATTCATTGTTATTTAAGAAAAATCTTCATAGAGATACGTATTACAGTAAAATAAAAGTAAAAATAAATAAGTAAAAGTGGAGGAAGGACACTCAAGGAGAGCAGTCCCCTTTCTGTGCAAACAGCATTTGTCTCCTGAGCGGCTGCTGGCCTCGGCCTGAGCCGGACGTCCAGGATCCCTGCCGGTCCAGGCCCGCTGCAGTCTCATTGAGGGCCCAGCCCGATGGAGCCCACCCATCTGGACCATGGGAACAAGTCTACTGATACTTGTCTAGGCTCAGAGCCTTAAGAGAAAAGACCATAAAAATTAAAGTCATTTTCCATTTTATTTCCTATCAAAAAGCTCAGAATTTCCCTGGCCGGTTTGGCTCAGCGGTGGAGCATCAGCCTGAGGACCAATGAGTCACAGGTTCGATTTTGGCCAAGGGCATGTGCCTTGGTTGCAGTTCATCCCCAGTCCTGGTTGGGGTCGTGCGGGAGGCAACAAGTCGATGTGTCCCTCTCATGTCAATGTTTCTCTCTCTCTCTCTCTCTCTGTCTCTCTCTCTCCCTTTTTCTCCCTCTCTCTCCCTCCCACTCTATCTGAAGATAAATAGAAAAATATCATCCTCCAGTAAGGACTAAAAGAAAAAAAATCTCAGGATTTCTTTACTTCACCAGGGGAACAAGTGCTCACGATGAAACATACTTGTTTCCCACAGAATGACATGGGTATCAGCCATCATGAATACTCACATGGGACCACTTCATGGGAATGGACTTCCATGATCTACCAGATGTAGAGATTAAAAACAAAATGTGATGCCAATGGCTATAGATGCCTACTAGAAAGGGATTCTACTTATGCTTTATTCCATTCTTTTCTAGCAAAAGAATGAACAGAGGTAGTGAGGGCTCAATATTATGGATACTCTTAAATTTATAAAAGGCTTTATACTTATGAAAAGGCTACGGTCCAACAGACTGCAAATCTACTCCTTGAATCTCAGAGCACACTTTTGCATAAAAATAATGCCACACACGGCTGGGTAAACACGCCAGCCCAGAGGAGCCCCAAATGCAACTACCCTGGACAAGCAGCACCCCTGAATCTGGCCAGCAGGGGAGCACTGCCATCCACAAATACACCCAGAAGTCCAAGCCAGGCAGCAAGCAGAGGCTCCCCACATCCACAAGGAAGCGGGGTGCTCCTCCCTGCCTGTTAGGCCTTCCCAAAGCCCCATCACCAGACCAGAGGAGGACTCAGATAAAAACAGGGCAGGAAGGGGAGGAGAGGGGCCTAAGTGCTCATCGTGAGGCAGTCCTGCTCCGTGCATCCCCCTGGTCATTCCCTCTTTTCTTTCCCGAGCCTGCACGTCTGCTCCTGACTGGGGGTTTTCTTCACACCTGGGTCCCTGGAAACACAAAGCACTCTGTCTTTCCTTCCTGTCCCAAAAGGACAAAATGTCCTTTTGAGATATTTTTTTTCCAACTGACAATCTAATAAAAGGAAGGCAACAAGGAGCAAAAGGCCTCTTCTCCCCCCAGGGCCATCACTGTGTCACGCAGGCTTCCAGGGCTGCTGAGCCTCACACACAAGGCTCCTGGCCAGGCCCCAGGGCAGGAAGATTAGCAGAGGAGCTCCAGCCAGCGGGCAAGGCCCACACCCGCTTCTGCATCCCAGCAGCAGCCTGGCCGATTCCAGCACAAGGCCGGCTCGGGGCTTGATCCCCAGCAGGGGGCGTGCAGGAGGCAGCCAGTCCATGTTTCCATCTCTCTGCCTCTCAAACATATTAAAAAAGCAGCCGACGTGAACACTCAAGTCTGCACAGTGGCTAACAGCAGAGGCCGTCGCCTCACTGTCCCCAAACACCAGGTACACAGCAGGGGAACAACACTTCCTGTCTCTAAGTCTCCGTACCTTCACCCACAAAAGGGCAATAATTGCTGTACCGAACAGGGTTCCTGTGAAGATTAAAGGAGATGAAAGCTCTCAGCATAATGCTTGACACAGAGAAAGCATTTACGGAATCAGGATTGTTGTTATGAAAGTGGTAGGAAAAAACAGGACTTGGAGCGTGATACCAAGAACCAAGCAAACAAAATGCAGGGTGGATTCCAGGGCAGCTGCATTTAAACCAGATCTTGAAGAATGACCGAGTCTGAGAGGAGAGGAGGAAGGGCATGCCAGCAAAGGCCTGGGGCTGCGAGAAGCATTTGCATTGTAAGGGCTGATGGGCTCTGGGAGCCAGGACCGAGGGTCAGCTGGGCTGAGGAACCCAGAGGGGGAATCACAGTAATCCGGAGCTGAGGAAGGGTGGAGGAGAGAAACAGGCTCAGCTCTGGTCCTGAGCTGTAACTCTGAGAGCAGTGCTACCTTCTTTTGCTCATCCAACCAGAACACTGGCTGGAGCCAGGTGGGACGGGCAGGTGCGGACAGATGGGAGGCGGCTGCAAAGGGCCAGAGGAGAGAGGACAATTAAAAAAAAAAAAAAAAAGTTGTGGGGATGAAGTGAAACCAGGTCACAATTTAGCTGTCACTCTGCTGGGAAGCCCTTCCTCACCGGAGGGTTCTGGGTTAGGTACCCTTCTCCTAAGGGCTCCTAAGGCACCACAGACATCCCAAATCAGAGCTCCTAACACTGGTTTCTATAGACTCATTCAACAGTTCATCAAGGCCTAACATGGGCCAGGCCCTTGCTCAGCACTGAGAATACAGGGGTTAATGAGACAGAAAGAGTGTCTGTCCTGAGCATAGCTGGGAGCTTACCTGCTGGGAGGGGACACAGACAATAAGAAAGCACATAAACGCACACACAAATTCAAGTGGTGCCAAGTGCATAGATGGGGACAAAGACAGACAAGTAATAGTGGGGACACACAGGCAGTCGGGAACAGCCTCTCTGAAGAGGAGCACTTCTGATCAGTGATGGCATGAGGGGGAGGCACGGGAGGACATGGGAGAAGAGCATTTCAGGCAGAGACAGGGGCAAGTATAGCATCTCCGAGGGTGTAACATGTTCACAGGCCAGGAAGATGCTCGTGTGGCTGGGACAGGGAAGCAAGGGGGAGGGTAAAGGAAACAAGGCTGGAACCAGGCAACAGCCCGAAGACACAGCCTTGTGTTTAAAGTAGGATGGAATGAAGGCCAACACGGAGATTTCAGAAGAGTGATGGGATCTGACTCCTGTTAAACTAAGAGCATCTGCCTGACTCAGGAAAGTAAGCTACAGGCAGGGCAGGCACAGAAACCGATGGAGGCAGAGGCCACTGAAATATGCCAAGTGAGACGGTGGCAGCTGGCGCTACACTGTGAGAAGAGCAGGTGGCAACGATGTCAGATTGCAGGTATGTTTGGAAGGCAGAGCTTGCCGATGAACTGGATGTGGATGGAAGAGAAACGGGACTCAAGCAGGAATCAGACAGGTTGGGGCCCGTGCATAGGGTGCTGCCATCTGCCAAAATGGGGAAGAGGGAAAAGCAGGTTTGGAGGCAGGAAGCAGAGGAGCAAATCAAGAGATTGGTATTAGACACACCTAATTTAAAGTGCCTCACCCTGGTCAATTTTGCTCAGTGGTTAGAGCATCGGCCCGCAGACCAATGAGTCTCGGGTTCAATTCCAGTCAAGGGCACATAGCTCATTTGTGGTTCATCCCCGGCCCTGATTGGTGTCATGCGGGAGGCAACCAGTCAATGTGTCCCTCTCATGTCGATGTTTCTCTCTCTCTCTCTCTCTCTCTCTCTCCCTCCCTCCCTCCCTCCCTCCCTCCCTCCCTCCCTCCCTCCCTCACACTCTATCTGAAGATAAATAGAAAAATATCCTTGGGTGAGGATTTTTTTTTTTAAATGTAAAAAAAAAAATAAAAAATAAAATTTTAAGGTGCCTCTTAGGTACCAAACTGGAGATGTCAACTAGGCAGAAGGACGTGTGAATCAAGTGCTCAGGGAGAGGATGGGGCTGGATGTAAATCAGATGCGCTTTCAGCATACAGATGCTATTTTTAACCTGAGGCAAGGTGGGCTCCCCAGGAACCACATACATAGAGATGAGGTCTGAGGATTAAACCAGCAAAGCTGAGTGAAAAGCAACAGCCTAAAAAGAGGAAAAATAGGAGAGGGTGGGGTCCAGGCAGCCAGGGAAGAGCAGGTGCAGGAAGGGAGGGGTCTGAAGCCAAAATGAACTTAAAACTTTGAGAAGTACAATTTTCACATGCAAAAGCCAACAGTTTATCATAAAAAAAATCATAAAAACATCATTTTTCATAAAATTTGCCTTTCTAGATGACACAACTGAAGATGAAAATTTCTAAGCTCATCATTTTCTACAATTTCCATGGGCAAGATATACTTACAGGCTACACTGGTTTAGCCTGTAAAACTTGTGCCTCGCCACGCAGAGTCTCCACACGTATTTTGCTGTTTCCATGTCTTCCTAGCAAACAAAATATGCATACAATAAATGAAACACATTTACACCTTGATACCCAGTTCATCTGAAGACAAGACATAAATGGATAACATTATGTCAAGTCACTTTTAACACACTGTGATTCTTTCATTTTCTAATACTGTGTCTTCACAGGAATGCTATAATTAGGATTTAAATGATGAAGACACAAAAAGTATATTCTAACTGTGAGTCTTGTATTAAACAGCTTCAAAATGACTTAGGAATTCAAAAATTATGAAAATATCAAGTTTTTGACAGATAACTCAAAGATATGTTTAAACAAAACATTTGACTCGGTGACTCAAAAATGCCTTTGTCAAGGGAGCAAAAGCAAGTAACTGTGAAATAATTTCTATTGATAAGTGACTGGCTCTGTAGAAAGGTTAATACATTGTTGACCGGCAATTTTACGCAGAAGTTATCTCATGTCACTGGCTATTTTTTTTTGTAATTGCATATGAAAGTGAAACAATCTAAATAAACTTCAGTATACTTTATTTATACATAATGAATTTAAATGAAACTTTGTACATATCTGCTACATATTTTATACATATTATATATTTTAGTAATTTTTTTCATGTGGTATACTGTATAGCAATCACCTTTTGAAACACACACTTTACACATTTTAGTTGGATTTTTTTTTTATACCAGTGACTATTTTTTCTAAAATATGGTCTTTTAGTTGCCCTGAGAGCCTAAAAGGTAAATCAATGTAAGAAGCTCTTTTAGAAGGACCAGAAGTGTTAGGTTCTGAGCAGCACTCATTTGAACCAGCAGATATCCATTCCCTAGCTACTTCAAGCAGAAATTTTTTGTATCTTATTTTGTCTATTGTAATTACAGTAAATTTTGAATGCACTGAATAAAGCGCCACCCTGAGTTTCAAAAATTGAAATAGCTAATGCAAGTGCAAACATGAGTTAACTCGTGAGAGGTCAACAGTGTAAGATACTAGTGCTTACTTTCTTCCCTATTTAGTCCCTTGAATTTAATTTAGAAACCAGCATGATCAGATAGTATCAATCCAAGGACTCATTCATTCAACACTATTTACTGAGCAACTAATTTTGCCAAATGTATTATGACAAAACTACTATAATACAAAATGTTAAACAATTTTGCAATGTTTTAGAAAACTGTAAAATACATATAATTTTAATGCCAGCCACCCCTGAAACATACACACAGAAATGTTAACTGGCTAACTTCCAGAAATAAAGTCCACGTGATTCCTAACGTCCACTCACAGTTTGAAACTGGATGGTCTCCTCTTTGTTGGCCAGCTCTAATGCGAAGAAGGACTTGCTGTGGGACATGTTGGCAATGTCGTGCCACCTGAAGGACAACAGACAGAAAATGGCAATGTGATGCTCATGTTTGCACCAGGAGACAGAATATGATTTCCCTTCTTGAGCCTGATGTATAAATTAATATTTGTTAATAATTTTAGCCCTGGCCAGTTAGACCAGAGAGTCCCGGGTTTGGTTCTCTCTAACGGCATGTACCTCGGTTGTAGTTTGTCCCCAGCCCTGGCTGGAGTCGTGTGGGTGACAACCACTCGATGTGTCTCTCTCACATCGATGTTTCTCTCTTTTCCTCCCTCTCTCCCTCCCGCTCTATCTAAAGACAAATGTAAAAAATGTCCTCGAGTGAAGATAAAAAATAGTAATAATAATAATTTTAGAAAGAGCCCTGACTGGTTTGACTCAGCAGTTAGAGCATCGGCCCACAGACCAAAGACTCACGGGTTCGATTCCAGTCAAGGGCACATTCCTCGGTTGCGATTCATCCCCTGCCCTGGTTGGGTCATGTGGGGGGCAACCAGTCGATGTAGCTCTATCACATCGATGTTTCTCTCTGTCTCTCTCTCTCTCCCTCCCTCCCACTCTATCTGAAAATAAGTAGAAAAATATCCTTAGTGAGGAATTTAAAAAAAAACAAGAGCTCAGGCTCTTTGACTGGAGAACTTGAGTTCTTGGTTAGAATAGTTAATAACTGGGTAACCTTGAACAAACCATTTAACTTTTCTTTTTTATTGATTTTAAAGAGAGGAAGAGAGAGAGAGAAGAACTGATGTGAGAGAGAATCATCAGCCCTGGCCAGTTTGGCTCAGCGGTTAGAGCGTAGGCCCACAGTCCAGAGAGACTTCCTGCTAAGGGCACATACCTCGGTTGCAGTTTGCCCCCGATCCCAGTTGGGGTTGTGTGGGTGGCAGCCAGTCAGTGTGTCTCTCTCATGTACATGTTTCTCTCTCTCCTCCTCCCTCTCGCTCTATCTGAAGATGAATGCAAAAATGTCCTCGGGTGAGGGAAAAAAAAGAAAAGAGAGAGAATCGTTAGTTGGTTGCTTTCTGCACGTATCCCAACCAGGGACCAAACCCAAAACCCAGTATGTGCCCTGACTGGGAATCGACCCTGCCACCTTCTGGTGTGCAAGACAACACTCTAACTGAGCCACACTGGCTAGGGCTCACTTAACTTTTTTAAGCCTGTTATGCTGTGTGCTAAATGGTGGTTAATATCCTTTCTGCTAAAGGTTATTGTGAAGATTACATGGGAAAACACAGAAAAAGAATTCAGCATCGAACCTGGCTCATGATAAGCATTCAGTAAATGGTAAACACAATAGAACAACAACATGACATGTTTTACTACTTTATAAAAACAATACAAATGTTTAATTCATCAAGAGATGACAGAATCAAAAGGGAGAATCTCAGCAAAAATGGAAATATGTCTATGAAATGACACTTTAGACTTTCTAGATTATGAAATTTAAGGAATAAAAAGGGGTTGAATGACATTGTCCAATTTACCATCTTTAAGATATACACTGGAGCCCAGCCGGCGGGGCTCAGTGGATTGAGCATCGTCCTAAGGACTGAGATGTCCTGGTTTGATTCCCATCAGGGCACATGCCCAGGTTGCGGGCTCGATCCCCAGTAGGGGGCATGCAGGAGGGGGCCAATGGATGTTTCTCTCTCACATCAATTTTTCTCTCTCTCCCTTCCTCTCTCTCTAAAAAAAAAAAAATCAATAAAAACATTTTTAATAAAAGATATAAACTGGAACACAGAATACTGAAAAGGAAATTTAAGTCCTCTGCAATTTCATTGCTCAGAGTCTGTCTTTCTTACCAAATGCATTCTAGTATTTCCACAAATGAACAGTGTCACTTTTTTATACTCAGAGGCGAAGACATGACACTACAAAGCATCACTGCAATTTGCCTAGGTGGTGGTATTTTTAGAAATTTTGGTACATTAATTAGAGTCCCCCAGATTTTCTACAAGAAATAGCCCTTAGAAACCAAAACTCAAATGAAAAATTCATATCAAAACAAAGAACACCTCCCTATGGGAAGAAAAGGGGCACATTTTTAAACATTTCATAAGTCGACCACCATTATAAGCATTACTTTCTGCACATCTGGTTTTGGAGGAAGCAGCTTACAGAAAGAACCACTGCCTTGAGTGGTATTTCATTCCGGGAAGGGCAGATTTCCATTTCCTAATGAGACCCTGGGAGAGACTTCTGAGCAATATAACTAGCACAGGGACGGAAAAACAGCACCACGAGGAGCCACAGGAAGTGCACAGGACGATGTAAGAAAAATACCGAAACATCACAGGAGGCCTTCCGTTCTTGTGTTTCACAAAGATGCCTTCCAGACATGCCCCGATGGAGATGTCGCTGCCTTGGCTGTCCTGAAAGGAGAGGCACACACTCAGGCGGCAGATGCACAAGGACTACAATTACACCACGTTCTCTAACTGCTTCCCAGCTAGGAAGTGTTCGGAAGACGTACAGGACTACGATTCTGAAGGGGAAAGTCTGAAAGTTATGGAGCTATCGTCTTGGAATTGTGTGTGAATATAGGAAGAGATGGACCTCTTCAGGAACTCTCTTCAGAGCATTCTAAGAACAAACTGAAAACAGGAATAGGTTTACTATTTCTATTCCTAAACAGAATTTCGGCTACAAGGACCTCAGCTTTTACATTTCCAGACTTTCGCACGTCTTCAGCCTTTGCACAGCAGGGCATCCTGGGTGTCCCCACCACCCTCTGGGGAGCCCTGGCCTCCGTTTCCCACCCACCTTCGCGGGGTAGCTCTCTCCTCCGTAGCCTTCCATCCTCTCCACCTCCTGCATGTACAGTGTCTCGGCGTCAGGAGCTGGGAGGCCCCTGCAACCCAGAGGATGTTAGAGAGATTAGCCACAAAACTAAAAACAAACAAGCAGAAAGCTTTTCTAAAACACTACATATGAATTTGGCATAAAACATTATAAACATTTCAAGTTTCTAAGCATCTGTAATTGGTTAGATCGATCCATCGATATTCACTGGAAATTGACTACATGCAAAGCACAGTGCTGCACACCGAGGGTTAGTTATGGAAGAGCCTGTCCCTGTACTTGAGACAGGTGAGGAGATGCAGGCAATATAGACAACCCCCAGAAACATCTTCAGTAAAAGCCAGGATTCTTTCTAATCCACTGAATAATTGCTTACTATCCAATCTATCAGGCAACACTAAGCATCATGTGCTAAATGCCAAATGATAAAGGTACAGGAAATAAGAGTTAGGAGGATAGATATCCTTTTTTTTTTAGCTTCAGTGACAGAATTACAATGATAAAGGTACAGGAAATAAGAGGAGGATAGAAATCCGTTTTTTTTTAGCTTCAGTGACAGAATTACAAAGATGGTAAGAAGTACTCAACTGCATGGAAACTTGCCTCTCCAGCCTCATCTTCAATTGCTCCCCCATACCCACAGGGCACCCCACACCACAACCGTCCCAAACTCTGCCTTTCTTTGAATACACCATGTTCCCTCCTGCCTCTGGGTCTTTGCACACACTAATCCCTCTTCCTGGTATCCCTGTCACTCACCCGTGCACCTGGTCTATCTCTAATATTCTTCAAGACTTGGCCTATGTATCCATCACTCCTTCTCTGTCACCTGCTGTGATCCCCCCAAGTCTATGCCACACACGCGGCTCTGTGTAGACCCACCGTTCATGCTCATTTTCCCCACTGCTCCCATATTCCATTCTTAGTATTAGAACTGCTACCACAGGCGGCTGTCCTGCCTACCCGTAGACTGCAAGGCAGGAGATACCTTCTCTGATGGCAGCAGACTGTTCCATTTATCTCTGTGCCACTGCACCCAGCACTCTGCCTCACAGAGTAATAGTCACGAGCTATCTTTTCAGGAGGTGCACAGATGAATGAATGAAAGTTACAAAAGACAAGGCGATGTATGCCTGAGGGATTAATTGTGCTGGGGAAACATGGTTCATTTGGGACAGCAGAAGGGAAAGCTGGAAAGGCAGGATTTAACCAATTTATAGGAGGTGTTTAATCCCGGGGGCAATGAACTCAAGCAGGTGAAGAGCAAAAGATTCATGAGCATTTGAGAAGGGGGTGGATGAGAGAGAGGAAAGTGATATTTTAGGAAGATTAATCCTTTGTGAGTGATCGTATGGATTTGAGTGAGGAGGGACTAAAGGTAAAAGGTTATTTTTAATGGGAGGGGATGAACAATAGGTTATAATTAGACAGACCTGGGTTCAAGTCCCACCTCTACCACATGTAACTTTGGGCAAGTTATTTAGTCTTTTTTGAGCTTGGCTTCCCCAATCTGTAAGGAGATAACAACATTTACCTTAAAGAGTGGTTATAAGAATGAAATGATACATCAGGTACGTGGAACTGTGTGGTGTTCGGTTTAGAACGAGACCTATCATTCCCTGGGAGAGGTGTTTTCTTACAGACAACACATCCAGGTTCACAGTCAAAGAAAGTCATTCCTACCCAGGACGGTGGGTCAGGGCCGAGGAGAGGGACACAGCCTCCCCGGAGGAGAGGGACACAGCCTCCCCGGAGGAGAGGGACACAGCCTCCCCGGAGGAGAGGGGCACAGCCTCCCCGGAAGAGAGGGACACAGCCTCCCTGGAGGAGAGGGGCACAGCCTCCCCGAAAGAGAGGGACACAGCCTCCCCGGAGGAGAGGGGCACAGCCTCCCCGGAGGAGACGGGCACAGCCTCCAAAGGTGCACAAGGAGGGAAAAGCCCTGTACTCGCTGCATCACCAAAGAAAACCAATGTCTCTGATCTCGAATTGAGCCACACAGGGCGAGGTCAGCACCAAAACCTTTCCTGGACGGGGTGGAGAATGGGCACCCTTCAGTGGCTGCTCTCCGCGTTCTCAGTGCCCCCCCCCCCACCACGCCACGCCACGGCTGATAATGCGGGGATGCGGCGAGCGCTGGGACGGGCACCTGGCGCAGAGGCGGTGCTATGGATGCGGCGGCTCCCAGTCACGCGGCTGTGGCAGCAGTCACGGCTCCAAAGGCCATCCTGTCACTGTGCCCTTCAGGTTTGGACAGGCAATGGTTCTAGGCTATGCCCATGCCTTAGTTGCTTAGCGTTACCTGTATTTCTGATGCAGCAAGGCCACTTTTTGGGTTGCTTCTTCCAATACTTTTTCATCTTGTAACCACCCCTGAAGAAAACACACTGCAGTTAAGTATGTAAACAAGCCACCCAAATTTCTTAGGAAGGATCGTTGCTACTGACTCTAACCAAGTCTGGTCGCCATCAGGCGAAGGTGGGGCTGGGTAAATGGGAGGGAGCTTCGCTGAGGCCCGTTATCATGATCTTTCGAAGGAATTAAGTGGCTTCTGCTCAGGCGCCAAACCCCCGGCCCGCCTTCTCAGCTCATCCCAGAGAAGGCGCCCAGCTATTCCAGGGCGGTAGCCGTCGGCCAGCTCGAACCCAGCACGAGGACGGCTCCTGTGCACCCCCTCCACTGTGCCAGTGCCCCGGGCTCCTGCCAGGCGCACCAGCAGGCACTAGAGCAGAGGAGAGGCGGTGTCCTTCTGTCTGCTACTTTTCCAACTGCTGAGGGTCAGAAGCCAAATTTACTGCAGCGTGGTTTTGTGAGGGTTCACGCCTTCGGTGAATAGCAAAACCCCGTGTGTTTGCTCAGCAGCGGGAAGTTAATCCTCCCTTAGCCAGCGGTTCTCAACCTGTAAGTCGCTACCCCTTTGGGGTTCCAACAACCCTTTCACAGGGGTCGCCTGAGACCATCGGAAACCACATATTTCCGATGGTCTCAGGAACCAGGACACCGCTTCTCTATCGGTCTCCAGGTGGGTCCGCACACATGCAGACACGCCCACGTACAACATGAAGAACTGTATTTTTTTTTTAATCCTCATCCGAGAACATTTTTCCATTTTTTCGTTCAGATAGAGTGGGAGGGAGAGAGAGAGAAACATCGACGTGAAAGGGACACATCAAGTGGCTGCCACCCGCACAATCCAACAAGGGCCGGGGACAAACTGCAACCGAGGTACGTGCCCCTAGTGGGAACTGAACCCGGGTCTCTCTGGACCGCAGGCTGACGCTCCAACCGCTGAGCCAAACGGCCAGGGGAGAGGAACTGTATTAAGGGGTCGTGGCATTAGGAAGGTTGAAAACCACTGCTTAGACTCACATCCACACACATGTCCCTGGCTACAGTCAGTACTGCAGACCCTCCCGTTTCTGGCATTCCACAACCAAGGAAAGCATAGCAGGAAAAGTACTTATTATACTTGAGCTGTTCACAAGAGGGAACTTATTTTTTAACACTATTCCTGGACTTCGTCTCAGGAAGCATTAATGGTATGGAACTAAGCTGTTTATAAAAAGGCCCAATGTAAGAAGGAGTCTTACCACAGGAAATAAGGCGAATTTCTGAAGGAAGTCCTGGGATTCATACTGATCGAAGTCACCAAAATCAGCTGTACAAAATGACAAATATTCACATGTCAATTATGTTTCATTTGCGTAGCAACACTTGTACAACCAAATTCAATATGTGGTGTTCACAGATGGTGTGCTTATGTTTCAGAAATCAGGTCTTCCATACAGTTATAAAGTATATTTAAAAAATATCTTTTATAGAATATTAGGTAATTCGTGGGTCTTGGCTTGGAAAAATGCCTACTAATAGAGTGAAAAAAAAAAATTAAAAACTGTATATAATATCTCTTTTATAATTTAAAAAGAAAAAGAAAACTACCCTATAATCATGTATGCTTACTTATGCACAGAAAAATATCAGGAAGAAAACCAAAGTGTTCACAGTAGCGATTACCTCTAGAGAAGGGAATCATAGCATTTGAATGTTACAGCAAGATGCCTTTGTTTAGAAAGTTTTAGCTATTAAAAATAAATTGATAATTTGGCAAAAAGTTTATCAAGACTAACTCCTAAAGCCAAAGATGACATTTAAGAAGATTCAAAGTACCTTGGAAAGGAATGTGGTCCCATGTGTGTTATTTGTTAAAAATGATAAATGTTGCCCTGGCCGGTTTGGCTCAGCGGTTAGAGCGTCCGCCTGCGGTCCGGAGAGACCCGGGTTCGGTTCCCGCTAAGGGCATGTACCTCGGTTGCAGTTTGTCCCCGGCCCTGGTTGGTCGTGCGGGTGGCAGCCACTTGATGTGTCCCTTTCACATCGATGTTTCCCTCTCTCTCTCTTCCTCTCTCTCCCTCCCACTCTGTCTGTACAAAAAATGGAAAAATGTCCTCGGATGAGGATTAAAAAAAAAAAAAAAAATGATAAATGTTTCCATGTCTGCTAATATCTGAAGGAATTTTATTAATAATTCTTCTGATTAAATATAAATTCCCAAGATTAAATGCCAGTTATCATTTGAAAAAATGCCCCATCAGAAGTCTTCCCAAAGAATATGTATCCATGTAAATACAGATAGATTGGACATGTGAAAAATGACGGAATTAAACAATTCAAAAAAATACTCGTGAAATGTAAAAGTTTATCTGTTGTGACTGATGATGCTCTGTAATCCAGGAACACTGTTTAAGAAACCAAACAAATGATGCATACCTAAAGTATAAGTGATCCTAACTTCGTTTGGCTGACCTTTCTTCCTAAAATATTAGCTAGCAGTAGATCAGGAGAAATACACAGCACATTAACTGCTGTGTGTGCATTTTTTCTCTATGTTTGGTCTGTTTCTCTGTTGACATATGATAACATGCTTATCCTGTCAGAAGTCTCATTTCATTGAAGCACTCCGAATTCATTTTTCCCACAAGGAAGCCCCTTAGATAATAGAATAATATTTCACTAACATATTAACACGACTATAGAAAGTAAGTTACTTTATGAAGTCCTTGCTGTTTTCATTTTAACAGTTTTAATCGGAAAGATTTGTTACATAATCAATTGTCATTATTTACCTTGAACAGCTAAGCCCGCTAGCTGAATTGCTTGTTCTAATGTACAAGGAATGTTTCCTTCCAATATATCTTTCTTCAGCTGCAGATAATACTGATACCTACAAAAAAAATGTCAATTTAAAAAAGTCAATATCAACATTACCTCCAATTAAGACAATGAATTTTACCGTAATTTGTTAGAGGAGCATAAATTAGTCACATAAAACCTTAACCCAGATGATTTTGAAGAATGACAAGATCATACTTGACCATATCTACACCTATACCTACACACACACTTTTAACACACCCAACAAAATGACTAATGATGCCTTAACACTATCCCATACCCAGTCCATATAAATTTTTGTGATTGCCTCAGAATGTCTTTTTACCACTTTTTTAAAGATCAGGATCTAAACAAGGTCTATAGATTACATTTGATTGTTATTTCTAAGTTTCTCTTAATTTTAAAAAAGATGCCTCCTCTTTATTTTTATGTCACTTACATACAAAATGATGTGATTTGTCATGTAGAATTTTCCACCTTTTTTTTTTATCCTCACCCGAGGACATTTTTACATTTATCCTCAGATAGAGTGAGAAGGAGAGAGGGAGGAGGAGAGAGAGAGAAACACTGACGTGAGCGACACATCGACTGGCTGCCACCCACACGACCCCAACCAGGGCTGGGAACAAACTGCAACTGAGGTACGTGACCTTAGCGGGGCCAAACCTTGGACTCTGGTCTGCAGGCCAACACTCTAACCACTGAGCCAAACTGGCCAGCACTATTTTTTTTTCTTCACTGATTTTAGAGAGAGAGAGAAAGGGAGAGGGAGAGATAGAAATATCGATGAGTGAGAACATTGATTGCCCGCCTCCTGCATACCCCGCACTGGGGATTTGGCCCACAACCTGGGCATGTGCATTGCCCGGGAATGGAACCAGCGACCTCTTGGTGCACGGGCCAATGCTCAACCACTGAGCCACACCAGCAGGGCTAGAATTTTCCACATTTAACATGTTCCTCTACTGTCCAATTTTTCCTGTGAACTACTGTTAGATGTAGAAGCAGAGTTGTCGATAGAACTTTCTGCAGTGGTGGAAACAGTCTAGATCTGTGCTGTCCCACAGGGTAGCCATTGGCCTATGTGGCCACTGAGTACTTAAAATGTGGTGAGTGTGACTGGGGGACTTAGCTGAGAGTAGAACCAGTCTTACGCTTCTGCTACCTGGAATATGAGCACCTCCAGAATGCTGACTCCGAGGTTACCGAGGAAGGGGAAGAACATGCTGAGGGCGGTGAGCACTAAGAGCCTGGATCCTTGAAGACTGCGTGGAGCTATCACATAAGCTCTGCATGGCTGACCTCTGGGCTCTTTCACAGGAGAAGTCAAAGGTATTTAGGCTTTCTGTTATATATAGCCATACTTAATCCTTACTGATACAACTTATCTATCAGCTTCTCCTACACCTAATCAGTGTGTAATCTGCTGGTTGAATCTACCAGGCCTATTCTCTCTCAGCCCTTCCCACAGCTAATGCCTTTGTTCAGGTCCACATTAGACTAATGCCTAGATTATGGCATGTACATTCCTAACTGGTCTCCTGCCTATGGTCCTGCCACCTCTAATCTGCCTCCTATGATGGGTAACCTTTGTAAAAAGCAAAGTTCATCCTTCCCTTCTGTTCAAGTTCAGAAATGTCTGTCCTCATTGTACCAGGACTTTATGACTAGAACACTGTTATTTTTCAAATCTCCTCTCCCCTCTCCAGGTACATCTGAAATTCCCTGAAAATACCAGTCCTCCTACTTAGCACAAGCTGTTCCCTCTAACTGGAAATTTTCTTCTGCAGTCAACTGAAAAGTCACTTCTTACCTTCCCTGCTCATGTTTCCCACACCCCACCCCTAGGAATCCAGTGCTTTAATTAAAGCATTTATTATCCTAATAGACCGTAAGTGTTTATTTACATGGACTGTCAGCTTCAGAGCAAGTCCTCTGGGGTAGGAGGAAAGCATATTTTCTTGTATATTTCTCTCTCGCGGTAACCAATATATTCTTACATTATACCATATTATACCTTCGGTACACGTTTAAATAAAGGAGGCACGTGATCAGTAGCTGCTTTTTTCCTGCTGGCTTCTACATCTCTCTCTGATATTTATTTCATATCTCAGATCTGTGTTACAGTTAGTGCATATTTATCCCTGCTACCTGATTCTTGCTTCTTTGGTTTTCCATCTTCTTCCAATAATTAACTGGAAAACTCAACACTTAAAAAGAACACTCCACAAACACAAGGCGATATCAGGTTCTTACTATCTGCAGAGCACTGTGCTTCATATTGTGCAGAACGTAAAGCTAAAGGAAATATGAGTTTAAAATCTTTGTAAGATGATAAGATATATACACAAAAAACTATAATGAAAGGCTGCGACAACTGACATCTTATCACAAGAACATGCAAATTCTACGACAGTCTGGAGAAGGCAAAGCTCATTCCAGCCTGGGGGTCACAGGAGCTTCCTGGAGGAGGCGGCTTCTGAACGAAAATTCAGAAGATGAATAGGATTCTAGTACATAAATATGACAGAAAGATCTAGGGCACAAAGATCAAAAGGCGTGAGGCATTTCAGGACACTGGAAGTAGTCCAACTTGACTCAAAAGCCATGCTAAACAGTGTTAAAAAGATAAGCTAGTGGTGAGTCTCAGAGAACTTCACAGGCAGGCTCAAGAATCCAAATTTCACTCCTTGTTTTTTGGTTTTGTTTGTCTTCAAGGAAATAAAAAGGATATTCCGTTCCTCGGTGCCACTCCTCAACATGGTCTTCCCGTTCTGCCTCTGCCCTTTTAAGTGCACTTATTAGCCAACACTTTGGGACCTTCAACACCTCCCCTCCCGCTCCTTCTCCCTTCCTCGTGGATACAGGGCACAGCTCCCGGAGTCAGAGCCCCAGGAGAACCCTGCTGCACATGTTCCTAAAGAAGGAACACGGACGCTGTGACTAATTTCTTTTTCATTTCCTCTCTCGTGTCATTGTTAGAGAGGTCAGAAACACGAAAGGTGACATCACGACAGAAGAGTTCAGCCAGGTGAAAACGTTCTCCCCTGGATCATTCCCCCACGCCTGGGGAGACCACGGGCAGCGAGGCCCCTGACACCCCCATCCCAGAGCCTCCACAGAACACTGTGGCTACAAACATGGGGGCGGGGGGCAAAGTTCAGTCCTATCTCCTGACAGCAACCGGAGTTTTGCTGTTTCCATCTCACTAGGTCATTTCCTGCGAACACAGCGAGGGTCTGCTCACCTGGTGATCTCCTGCTGCAGCTGCGACACGGAAGGCACGTAGAACACCACTCCGAAGTAGACGGTGGGCTCCAAGGCGTATTTATCCAGCTGCTTCTTCAGGGGCTTTTCCAAATCCACCCACCGGCGCTGATTCTGCTTGTTGTAGTACCAGAGGCTGAAGTAGGTGATCTGGAAAGAGGGAAGGTCACTGAAGGAGAGAGAAACGGACAAGAGGGTTTCTATACTTCCACTGCTCTAATCCACGGCCTGGGGACCAAGTGACGGCAGTCTCCTACTGCTTCACTTCTCAGGGACAAAAGCAAAATCTGAAGGAAAAAAGAAAAAAAAGACTCAAGACCCATCTACATCTAGGTACTCATATTCAGGAAAAAAGAGACAAAAAGTCAATTACTCTGCACGCACAAAACTGCCTTCATGGCCGAGACATCAGAATGTACAGGGTTCTATGAAATTTTTACATATAGTTTTTAACAAAAGGCATATACTAAAACAAATGTTTAGTTTTTAAATTACTGCAGTACTACATGTATTATTAATTAATATTTTATAATAAACGTAACTGGGGTTCTGCCAAGTAAAATTCTGAACGGTGTTCAACCTTTCACTACTCTCAAATTTGGCTTCTACAAATAGTTTGTGTAACTATTGTAAATTCTAGTAATACTAATGCAGCTGCAAAACTGCAACTCCTCTTTGCCTTGAAAGGTTTATTAGATACAAACTTAAAGCAACTGTATGCAATGGTGGTACATTCTCTCTCTCTCTTTCTCTCTCTCTCTCCTACACACATACTCTCTCACATGAGAAAAGTGATACCTAAAGCAGTAAAATAACTTAAGTGTATTACTTGGAACTTTTTAAAAAGTGGCCAGACATTTAGATCTCACATGCTGAGTAATGAAACTGTTCAGGTAAATCAATACTAGCCCAGAGTTTGGTCAACCTGAAAAGGCATTTAATGCACTTAAAGGTTGAAATGACAACCTCGGGCCACTGCTAACATTTACCTCTTTCAAATTAATTTATAGTCAAGGTAACTGCAAAAGTCTGCTTTGTTCTAGACTCTACAGCAACACTATGAAATAGAACATTCCCGGTGATGAAAATATTCTATATCTGCACTCTCCAGTATAACAGCCACTGGCAACATGTAGCTGCTGAGCACTGGGAATGTGGTTAGTGCAGCTAAGGGACTGAATTTTATTTCCTTTTTGTTAATCCTCACTTGAGGATATTTTTCCATTAATTATTTTTTTAGATAGAGTGGAAGGGAGAGAGAGAAACATCAATGCGAGAGAGACACATCATCAGCTGGCTGCCTCCCACCTGTCCCTGCCCGGGGCTGGGGATCAGCCCACAACCCAGGTACATGCCCTTGACCAGATATTTAACCCACAACCCTTCAGTCCTCAGGCTGATGCTCTAACCGCTGAACCAACTGGTGAGGGAAGAACTGAATGTTTAACGTTATTTACATGTTTTGTGCAGAAGGTACTTTTAAAATTTTTATTTTTCAAGAGCATTTATAAAAACCCATAGCTAACATCATACTCAACAGTGAAGACTGAAAGCTTCCCCCCTAATATCAAGGAACAGGACAAGTATGCCTATGTTCACCACTGCTACTCAACACAGTACTGTCAATTCTAGCCAGGCAAGAAAATGAAATAAAGGCATCCAAACTGGAAAGGAAGAATTAAAACCATCTCTATACACAGAAAACATGATCCTATATGTTTTAAGAAAATCCCAAAGATGCCCACACCAAAACAAAACTATGAGAGCTAATAAATTCAGCAAAATTGCAGGGTATCAGATCAACATACAAAGATCAGTATGGATTCTATACACCAGGAATGAAAAATTCAAAAAGCAAATTTAAAAAAACAAACAAACAATTCTATTTATAACAGCATGCAAAAAATATGAACGTCTAGAAATAAATTTGATGAAGGAGATGAAAAGGTTTCTACACTGAACAATACAAAACATTGCTGAAATAAATTAAATGGGAAGACATACCATGTACATGAACTGAACACTTAGTATTGCGAATATGGCAAGAATACCCAAAGTGATCTAGAGATTCAAATTCAATCCCTACCAACATTCCAACAGACATTTTCACAGAAATGGGAAAGCCAATTCTCAAATGAATATGGAATTGCAAGGGGTCCTGAACAGCCAACACAATATTGAAAAAGAACGAAGTTGGAGGGCTCACACTTTCTGATTTTAAAACTTACTACACATCGACCTTAATTAAAACAGTAAGGTATTGGTATAAGGAGAGACATATATAGACCAGTATTGTAGAATGGCATCCAGAAACGAAACCACACATCTATGGTCAACTGATTTTAGACAAGAGTGATAAGACCCTTCAGTGGAGAAAGAACAGTCTCTTCAACAAATGGTTCTAGAACAACTGAAGGTAGCCCCCTACACGTCACACTATATATAACAAATGACACTCAAACTGGATCAACAACCTAAATATAGAAACTATAAACTCTTTAGAAGAAAACAGAGGTAAATCTTCATGACCTTGAAATGACATGACACCAAAAGCTTGAGCAACAACAAAAAATACGTATTTTTCACTTCATCAAAATTAAAAACTGTACATATCAAAGGACCAAATCAAGAAAGTAAAAAGGCAAACTATGCAGAAAAGATCTGCAAATCATATATCTAATATCCAGAATATATAAAGAACTCTCACACAACAACCAAAAGACAATTCAATTTTAAAAAGGGCAAAGGAGCCCGGTCGGTGTGGCTCAGTGGTTGAGCGTCAACCCATGCACCAAGGGGTCGCCAGTTTGATTCCTGGTCAGGGCACATGCCCAGGTTGCGGACCAGATCCCCAGTGGGGGAGGGGCATGCAGGAGGCAGCCAATCGATGTTCTCTCTCATCAATGTTTATATCTTTCTCCCTCTCCATTACTCTCTCTCTAAAATCAATTTAAAAGAGGTGGGGCAAAGGACATGAATAGATATTTACCCAAGGAACATATACAAATGGCCAACAAGCGCATGAAACATGCTTTGTATCACAGTCATTAGGCAGATGCAACTCAGAACCACAATGAGATACCATTCCACACACATTAGGATGTGAAGAAATCGAAACCCTTATACATTGTCAATGGGAAACAATCTGGCAATTCCTCAAAAGTCAAACATATAATCATCACATGAACCAGCAATTCCACTCCTAGATATATACCCAAAAGAACTGAAAACAGCTCTGGCCGGTTTGGCTCAGCAGTTAGAGCATCGGCCTGCAGTCCAGAGAGACCCGGGTTCAGTTCCCCCTAAGGGCATGTACCTCAGCTGCAGTTTGTCCCCGGCCCCGGTTGGACTGTGTGGTAGGCAGCCACTTGATGTGTCCCTTTCATGTCAGTGTTTCTCTCTGTCTTCCTCTCCCTCCCTCCCGCACTATCTGAACAACAAAAAAAATGGAAAAATGTCCTCAGGTGAGGATAAAAAAAAAAAAGGAACTGAAAACAGGTGCTCAAATATGCGTACAAGCATGCTCATAGCAAGACTATTTGCAATAGCCAGAAGACAGAAACAACACAAATGTCCATCAGTAGATGAAAGAATCAACAAATTGTGGAATACACATACAATGGAGCATTATTCAACCATAAAAAAGAAGCACTGATACATACTACAATGTGGATGATTTGTAAAAATATACTGAGAAAGAAGCCAGATACAAAAGGTCACATATTATATGATTCCGTTTGAATTAAATATCCACAATAGATAAATACCGAGCAACAGAAAGCTGAATGATGGTTGGGAGTATGAGGAGAAGGGGTTGGAAGGTATGAGGAGTAACTGCTTAATGGGTACAGAAATCCCTCTTAGGATAATGAAAATGTTTTGGAACTAGATAGGGAAGATATTGTGAATGTACTAGATCACCAAATAGTTTACTTTAAAATGGTTCATTCTCTGTTATGTGAATTTCATCTCAAAAGTTATTTTTTTTAAAGATCAGAAACACTTATAATTAAAATCAAGTTCACAATTTTAAAGCTTTACTTTTATGTATTTATTTTTTTTCCTTTATTGATTGTAGAGGGAGAGAGAGAAAAAAAAAATCAATGAGAGAGAACATTAACTGTCTGCCTCCTACATGCTCCCCACCAGGGATCTGGGCCACAACCTGGGTGTGTGTCCTGACCAGGAATCAAATCAGCGACTTCTTGGTGCATGGGTCGACGCTCAATCAGTGAGCCACACTGGCCAGACTACTTTTAAATATTAAATAGCCCAGCCACTTTGGCTTAGTGGTTGACCATGCACCAAGTTAGCAGGTTCAATTCCTGGTCAGGACACATGCCCGGGTTGTGGACCCAGTCCCCGGTGAGGGGCATGCAGGAGGCAGCCAGTCAATGTTCTCTCTCATCAATGTTTCTATCTCTCTCTCCCTCTCCCTTCCTTTAAGAACAATAAAGAAAAAAAATGTTTTTTAAATAGATAAAATTCAGTTCATCTTTAACAGCCTAAGGGAAAAAAATAAGCCAGAAATAAATAAGCCTACCCATAAGTTAATTGTATTTTCTGCTTCTTAATATCTATACTTATGTCTTCCTTTATTTAAAGTTAAGATAACACCAGGGACATTTTTTTTTTTTTAATACAAAAACCTAGGTACAGACAGGCCCCCGTGCCCCCTTAAATTTCGACTCTTACCATTCATTACTAGGTCTAGGATAGTTTCCCAGCATCATATGTCTTCTCTCTGGGTTCTGTATGCCCTGTATTGTTTATGGGCTCAGTTTAATGGTAGTAAAAATTTTCCCATGAACCAGCCTTTAATTTAATTATTGGCTTACAGATGATGCCTCCCACTACTCTTTCTCTAACTTCCCAGTACCTTTCCTAATAAGAATCCACATGGCTTCTTTCTCCACAGTTCTGTCTACTCTCATCGGTGACCACAGCCAGCTGACTAGACCTTTCAATTGAAGCCTCTAAATAACTGAATCCTCCAGCATCCTCTAGAACAATTCCCAATCATCATTCAGTAGATTTTTGTGAAACTTCTTCATGGTGAGATACTTTTATATTCACCGTTTCTTTTCTATTTTTGTTCTGAACAAACATATCAGTGGTTTTACTAAAGCTATTCAGTGATTTCTTCATAG